CTTGATGGTCTGACGCGGAGTGTTGGAACCATTGATGATGGCTACCTTGAAGGTATATTTGGCACTGTTTGCATCTGCAGGAACGGTGCGAAGTTTGTAGGTGGTTGCACGAGTATCGTCGATCTCGGCTTCTTCGTCGTTGTCCACGAGAGGAAGAATGGGTTTGTCACGCAACTGTTTCTCGAAGTTGGTGAACGCATGCTTTCCTTGAGCAATCTTCATGGTGAAGGAATAGGTTGAGGGTAGCTGAAAGCTATTGTGTTTGTTAACAAAATGCACTACGCTAAAAGCTAGTGTAAAGATCTTTCGAGTGTTTTGAGTTTGAGAGAATGAAAGTTATGAGAGAGATTAGAAAGCTACGAAAACTAATCCATGAGAGAGATCGTTGTGAAGCTCATTGAAGTTGGTCTCCCGCGGGAGGCCTCGAAGTGTGATATCGTAGGTTATGGCAATAACTCTACGTACTCTACGGTCCATTTCCGGAACACGTGGAAACTTCAGCTAGTAGCTGTCTAGTAGCGTGGAAGCTTTCCACGCCGGCTAAATATCTAGAGCGATGTTTCATCGACAACCTAGTATGACTAGCAGTCATGAGAACCCTGTCTCAATGACTATTCGCGAAGGACTACGTCATGAGTCGAACTCAAACCCTATCTAGGATCGAGTCGCGAATAAGGCTAAGAGCCGTGTATTGCACAAGCCCTCTGGGATCACTGGTCCATCTTGCTTTGATGCTGCTATAACTGCAAAACTCAGGGATGGGAATGTTTGTAGTAGCTTTGCAATACTGCAATACAATCCTGAGCTTTGTGGCAAAGATCAGGCAATGCAACATACATTGCTGCCTCTGTCAGTGACACCAATAACTGGAATTTGTCCATGGCACCTTCTGTAAGCTTAACATCTGGATCAGTACCATTAACAGTCAAGATGCTAGATGTCTCAGTATGGATGTACTCCACAATTGCCTTGAGAATCACAGTGGGGAATCCAATGGACACAGCTTCCTTGTGGGCTTCTGAAATCCACCCTTTTTGAACATCTTCCTGAAGTATTGGCTTTTGACTGACAAGGCCATCCGGTTTGCAGGAATTAAGTCTCCATCTGTGCCCTTGAGAGAGACATCACAGAAGTCTTCGTCAGCTAACATGGCAAATGCTTGCGGAAAGGACACCTCCACAACCTCATCGGAAGGAGCGCCCGAAGCAGCGGAAGCAGCGGTGGACATGGTTCTGTTGTTGCTTGGCGATACCGCAAAGTGTTTTATGAATAGTCACTTGTTCAGACCTAGCTAGCTAGCAGGACTTCTTTCTATGATTCGATCATCGATCATCACGCGTCACGCTGCTGAGCGAGTGACAGTTGCTCTCTCTCGTATGAGGCTTCGTTACCTGTAGTCCTAGCGTGGAACTTCTTCCACGGAGTGTCAAACGGGAGTTTGTGAGAATCACACTTTCAATTCTTCGATTCGACTCCACGGCCACACAGTTTCCCATCCAGCTGCGACAGCCAACGTATGGTACATGCCCAAAATGAACATGAAAGGTGGGGACTGCTGAGAAGCAAACCTGCCATCCGGCGCTCCTGTTGGGCGTGGAACGCTTTCACAGTGCTCTGGGCGAAGCGAACTTGAACCTCTTCCACGGTCATTTTCCGTGACGACATACACAGCAACCGCAATCGGTGCGTCCAACACTGGCTGTAGCGGTTTCCACAGCGAACTCGCTTCCAAACCAACTGTGACGGTAAAGCCAACGTACTTCTGCACATGGATATGAAAGGTTGGCACTGCTTGAAGAGCAAAGAACGTGCAAATCGGGTCTGCCACTTGATGAAAGGTTGGGGCGTACGGCTGTACGGTAAACTCCGGAAATGGTACCGGTACCATTGTACCGTACCGGTACACGTATCCTGGCATGCTTGCCCCCCAAGCCAAGATTCTCTTACAACCGCTTGCTTCTGCTACTGCCTCCAAAACTCAGTTTTCCTAGTCTCAAATGATGTGCTTCATGCAGACCCATATCTCAATTGCCCTTGTGAAAGCTACCCATTTATGTCTCGGTGGATCTCGCAAAGCCAAACCATTTGGCCCCCGTAATGGTCCTAACTTTCTTGCCCCTGATCCCACAGAACCACCTAGTCCTGAATTTCGACTGTTCTTTGCTTATTAAGCCTGGCCCCGGCTGGCTTTCGTAGATAACGTCCCTACTCTAAACCCCCCTACCGGTACGAACCCAAAAGTTTGTTGTTGGATGGACGAAGCCTGAACCCTAAAAAGCAAAGCAGGGCTGAACCCAACGGGACTGATGTTGTACCGGTACCTGGTACCGGTACCGGTACCTCCTCGCTGCCTGCATAAACCCTAACGATTCAACCAGGATTGAGCCCTCACGGGATGGCAGAAAGGACCTTCAATAAGATTTCCCTTCGGTGGAGCATCCAACCAACAAAGGTTTCCTGCTTGATGAATTGGATGTGTGTGTCAGTATCCTCCGGTGTTGCTAGGTTCAACTCATCACTGCGCTTCTTCAAACTCTTCTTGAAGAAGAAGGCTTCAACAATGATCTGATGGGGTAGAGAAATGGGTTCATTCTCTGTGGCATTGCCAACAGTGAACAGTGGTTGCAAGTTCGACCCTGAAATCACTTCTCGGTAGACTTGATCATGGACTGGGGCGATCACATACTCATGTTGTCCATATCTCTGCTCGAACACCGCACAAGTATTGGGGTTTGCTATTTCCAATAAACAATATCGGTGATAGAAGGAAGCGTTGCTGTGGTTCAGGAACTGGGTGTACTTCGTCTCTTGTCTCAGCTGACCTTCGCCATTGTCAACAGCACCAAGTTCGGGCATGGGTTCTTCGGGAGGATTAAGCTGAGGTGCTGGCACATCATCAAAGTACCATTTGAATGGGATCAATTGATATCCGATCATGTAGCAATGAGTGGCATAGGATGCACCAATAACATTCTTCCTTTTCTTTTCAAGAATGGTAGCCTTCTGACTGGCGGACTTCTCACTGGACTTTGCCTGTGGAGACTTGTTCTGCTTGCCACGACCACCCTTGCCCTTCTTTGAAGTAGACATAATGTCAATAGGCAGTCAGTCTAATGAACAGGAAGAGAAAAGAGAAAGAGTATGAGTCAACAATGAGGATCAGGAGACTCAAGAAATATTCCTCAACATTAAGATAATCACAGGCATCAATGTTTTGGTAGGGACGACTAAAACAAGATTTGGTCAGCACGACGAAAACATGTTTTAACCCACACGACGTAAACCCGTTTTAACCAACACGACGAAAACATGTTTCAACCCACACGACGAAAACATGTTTTAACCAATACGACGAAAACATGATTTGGTCGGTACGACGAAAACATGATTTGGTCGGTACGACGAAAACGTGTCAAAAACTGCACTGTACACTTACAGGCTTGTTCCTTGTGTTTGGGCTCTTTCCAGCTAGAGATCTGTGCTGGACTAGTAGTAGTGATGGTAAGGAGACTCTCTGTGTGTCTTCTTGGGCTGTGGGGAGTGCAGAGGGGGGGTAGATGTGGAGATTTGGCTGTGGATGGAGTGGGAGGTTGTTCTTGTTGTGGATGTGGGTTGATTTGTGGAGTGAATCCAAATCCAAATGAAATTATGACCATTTCGCTGGCATAATGCACGCGAACGAGCGCCGAGTTGTTTTCGTCTTACGGACTAAAACAAGTTTCGGTCTTTAGGTTTAAAACAGGTTTTAGACTTGTTGACTAAAACATGATTTGGGAAGGATGGTCAATGTTAGTTTTAGTCAAGGTGACGAAAACATGTCTTAGTCAGGTGGACGAAAACAGAAAGTTACTTAGGCGAGAGCGGGGTGAGTTACTCTGTGATATAATCCTGACTGGTAGCAGAATATCTGCAAAGCACTTTTCGATCACTTATTGGAGTCATGAATTTCTTTCAAATTACATGTACCTTTTTGGTCTGAATCAGGGTTCGCTAACCTGATATATTAGGTTACCGCTTACTTGCGAAAGAACCGGTAACCGGAACCGGATAGAGTAACCTTTACACTAACCTGGTAAAAAATTTCTACCAGGTTAGTAACCGACACACTAACCTAATACAATTTTCTATCCGGTTCGTGTACCGGTGATACAACCGCTGCATCCAACAAACCTGGAGACGCTTCTCTGTTGTCGCCGGGTACCGCGAAAAGTGTTCCCTCGAGTGTTTATCTGGCTGCTTCGAAAAAGGGCACGGAGGCGGTAATGAAGGAGCGGAAGGATAAACAGATGGCTTTGGTTACCCACAACAACATCTCTGAGAGAGTTTTCACGGATCATACCAATTGTCCCGAATGGATGGAGCTGATTGAATTCTGTCTCGAGCGTGCTGAACAAATCAAGAAGATGCCGAAATATGGTCTTATGGCTCGGCAAGCTTTCAGTCGTCACCGTCAGCTATCATTTTTTGAGCTGACAGCCGCTGTCAACCAGCAAATCACAGAAACGGACGACCACCACAAAAAGCATTTGAAGAAGGCCGTCCCATTTGTGACTCTGCACCATGATGTTTGGGAGTCAAAGAAGAAGGATGTCCTTGGTGTTTCCATTTCTTTTTACAATCCGGAGAGGCAAGAGCAGTTGTTGATTCCAATTGTTCTTTGTCTGTGTACTGACAAGACAGGTATTCCGACTGTCAGCACAATCAAGAAGTATCTTGTGACCTTTGGAGTGGAGGAGCGAATGCTCTACAAGGCAGTCAATGACACTAACAATACGGCTTTGATGATTGGCCGATTGCTTGTTGGTAAGAATGGACACTGTGCCATGCATCAGATACAGTTGGCTCTTGATCATGCGACGGGTGCTAAGATCAGGAAGAGACAAAAGAAAATAGTTGACAGCTTTGACGAGTGCCAGAAGGTCAAGCGACGGTCTATTGAGTGTACCAAGTGGATTCAAAACAAAAAGTCCAAAGGACGGTGGTTGGACTACGTCAAAGCAATGCTAGATGTTGGTCGCGAGGCTCGGAAGGTCAATTGCCCAAACTCCACACGATCTGGCGGTATGATCCTACACTACGAAGACTCGTTGAGGTCCCGCTGGAATTATGAGGCATTCTGGCATGAAGAGCCTAGGGCTTTGTCACAAACCGATGACGAGTATTGGATCGTCGCCCAACATCACTCCATCCTCTACCCCACCAAAATCCTTCTAATGCAGGTTCAGTCGGACAACTTTGGTGCCATATCTTACACTGTCTACTTCATCTTCCGGACCTTTGCCATCCTGGTTACCTGCAGCAACTACTGGGTGGTGGAAACAAGAAGGCGTGAGATTGTTGACAAAGCGGCAAAGTGGAGTGCTGAGGCAATGCTGCCAGTCATGAAGTTTGACGGTACCCCCATTTATCCAAAGCCCATCTTGGAGGGAACTGGTCCCAACAAGATCTGTCATGTACCCGGATCACCAACTCAAGTATCAATGAAGAAGGTGAACAAGGAAGAGTTCCATGATTTATCCAAGAAACTCATCGGAAGGCTTACCGCGGAGCGGAGTATGTTAGGTATGGCGCCAACATGAAGGATGACTTCAACCAGAGTCGACTGTTGGCTTTGGGATGCAATCCATTTACTTCCACGTATCTGTTGAACGAGTTGGTTTCCCTTGGCACCATGGTGGCTGACCCTAGTGTTGGCGACGCTAAGTACAAGCCTCTGACATCCGATCTAAAGAAGCTCGTCAAAGATATCCTAATGAAGGAAGTACGAGAGATCTGCAGTGAGCTACTCAAGGATCCTGAAATGGTGGCCCGGGCTACCTTTGTGGAATACCACGACGACGACCCCACGGTCAGTGACTTCGAGAAATTGAGAAGGAAGAAACAAAGGAACGAAGAACAAGTTCCAGTCCAGGCAGCTCTTGGGGATCGAGTGGAGCGAGAGGTAGAGGCATGGTTCTCGCAAGACTTTCATCTCACTACTGCTCTCAAACTACAGAAGTCTCGTCCCGTCCCCCAGGATGTTCTTGATCGGCTCGGAACAAACAAGATCTGTTGGCTTGAAAATGTGGAGAAGATCGTCCAACACTTTGATATCATGGACTGGTGGGAGCGGGAAGGGAAGATTACCTATCCCTTGATTTATGCCGTGGCCTGTTGCATCCTTGCCCTTCCCGACAGCAATGGATTCCAAGAACGAACCTTTAGTGCGGCGACTTGGATGGACGGAATCCTCAATGCTCTGCAAGGTGACGTCACCTTCCAAATGAAGGTTCTCGTCTACAAGAATGCCGAGTTCTTGCGGAAGTACCGCCAGTACTTGAAGGAGGGCTATCTGGATAAGGCAAAGGAAAAGATCAAAATGCTATTGAGCAACACTACTGCGGATATGAAGTCAGATGAGATTACGAGTGACATGGAAGATATGCTTGAGGACCTGGGTTTGTTGGATGGTGACGATTAGGCATGGCGTGGCATTGCGTGGCAATACGATGGAAGTCTCACACCTTTCACTCGTCAAGGGTATCTATCTCTGTTACTAGCAACTCAATGGCAATACCTATTACCTATCTAACTAACAAACTAACAAACAAACTTACTATGACAATACCAGGTTACTTTATCAGGTAACCTACAGGTTACCTGATAAATACCTGACATAACCTTACACTAACCTACTACAAAAATTCTATCAGGTTAGTAACCTATACACTAACCTAGTGCAAATTTCTACCAGGTTAGTGTATAGGTTAGTAACCTATTCCTCAAATCTATCAGGTTAGCGGACCCTGCTCGGAGCAGCAAAAACCATCCCCGCCATAGTCCACTCTAACCCGAAGAAGCTTCTCCTGACAAAGGTACTGCTATCACCCCTTCGCTTCAGTGGAGCCGAGTCTTCATGTGGTTGCGTGATCATGGCACCCCATAAAGATTCTTAGGAAAGGAATTGCAAGGAGATTTTTTTGAGTTTGAAGAGAGAAGATGGCCGAGTGGAGATTCCCAGTGGAGCAAGTTCAAGCACCTCCGGACGTGGTATTGTTACCAATTGAAGCGAGCAAGTAAGAACCTTCTTCAGCAGGAACAACAGGAGAAAATCGAGGACCTCAAGAAGATAGTTGTGCTTCCAGTCGGTGGAAAGCGACCAAAAAGTTGTTCCTTGGAGTGAACGAATCTGCCAACTGGAGGGGTATATCAAAGAACATAGTCATGCACAATTTTCCACTCGCGATAATCCGGCACTCTACGTACAATTGGATTCAAGGTCAGAAGAGAAAGGTTCGAAAGAAAGAATTGAGCCCCAGTCAAAAGAACCAATTGGAAGGATTGGGCATCGATCTGTTTGATCGCATTTGGAAGGCAAACGAGGCATGGAGAAGACAAGTGGGTGGAAATGACATTGTATGGTGGATTGCAAAAGTACAAGTCTTCGACGGGAAATTGCCTGGTTCCCCAGCGATACTCAACAAATCCTCCTTTGGGAAACTGGGTCTGCCAGCAACGCAAATTGAAAAGGAAGGGTTGGCTGCCTCTCTACGGATCGAGACTGGAGAGACTCGGGTTTTGCTGGAACCCAAGGGGTGCAACGTTGTGAAAGTCATTTATTTGGAAGGCACTTGTCTTTGCATCCTATTGGGGTTTTTGAGTAGGTAGATGCTTTTGCAATTTTAGATACACAATGGTCACTTGCTTTCGATCAAAAATGATTGAGGGCGATTCCGTACACAACTACTTGCTTCCGAAGCGGAAGGTTGGCACGTTGGCATGATGTGGAATGGCGTGTTCGTGTTGATCCACGGTTCTGCTGTTTTCCACGTCCACTTTCTATTTGACATATTGGGAACAAGCAGCACCGATAGCCTCTCGGGATGCTGCCTTTAGACCAGTGGAAGACTTTCTCTTTGCAAACAACGACCGTGAGGAAGTATCTGTTTCCGATGGCTCCTCCTTGATAGCCACAGTGCCCCCAACCAAGTCTTCATTAGCATACAACTGTTCCAGAGAAATGTTCTCCAAAAAGTTCTTGCTGGCCATCAACCGACGCTCGTACTCATCGCAACTATGAAACCGTGTCACGCGTCGGAAATCGGCTCTCGAAACGAACAAGCCACCAACAAGAGACTTGGCCGCCACAAACGACCGCTTCAGGTCGTCTGGAATGGCACCTTCCTCGTCGTTCTTGTCCTTGGCGTAGGTCAAGCTAAACAGTTGGTTCCGCTCGTTGCTTTCCGAGGGATTCGACGTTTTGAACTTTAAATGAATGCCACAGTGCTTGTACAGATTCAGGGCCGAATTGTTGGGTGTAGGTGCTGCTCCCAGGATGGAGGCTGGTGACAACAAACTAACTTCCTTGGTCGCCATAAAGGGAAGCAATGTCACGAGATCTTCGCGGTTCGAAACTCGGAGATGCCGGAGACGCTTCATTCTTTCGAGCGATTGAAAGGCTGCTCGAAAGTCGGCATTACCAACACGAGGACTGGCAATGCTGACGACAATCACCGGACCATTCTTGACGATCTTATCGTCCATGGATGCATAAAAGCCGCACAGTGAGGCAAGGGCGCCACCTACCGTGTGCAACAGTAGCGCGTACCAGGTGGTTAGGCTGAGAGGTAAAGAGACGGATTTGGTAATCATGACAAAGATTGATAAATCACTTACCAAGCGAGTGGCCTGTACAATACATGCGGTATCCCTTGTTCTTTTTCATGAGGGCCTTAACATCCTCCAAAATGTGCTCAAGACGGACCTTCCCTTCGTCGTCCTCTTGGAAGAGATATTGGTAGAACCCAGTATGAAGGTTGATTGTACCGTTAGTCCCTGGGGCCAAAGGTAAAACAGGGTTTTCAACCTTTTTCTGCGCCAACTTGACATCTGTGATAAAATCTTGCTTTGTTACCGAACCACGGAAGAGGACTGTGATGCGCTTCCTGATGTGATTGATGGCAATGCCATAAACCATACCTTGTGTGCTCTTTTCGTCGTGAAAATGAGTCAAAACTGCTTCCTTCTTCTTGCCTCGCAACATGCGCCCCATGACTGAAGTAGACATGTGTTGCTGTTTTTGAATATCTTTCAATGCCTTGAGCTGTCCCTCTAATTCCTCGTGGTCAACACGGGCTTGCTCATCTAGGGCATCCTTGTGGAGCCGAATGATCTCCATGACCTGCTTTAGTGAGATTGGTTGTTGCATAAGCTCCTTGGATTCAATCTTGCCCTCGCGTGCTAGCTTTCGAAGATCGGCAAAGGTGTAAATCAGCAACGCGGCGCTTATCATTTCAAGGCAATCCTCGTATACGGATGGACCCTTTAACGACGAGGCCGATGAAGTGTTGAGGAGTGTTTTGGTCAATGCATCCTCCTTTTCGTCAGCGTCGCTTGTTGTCTTGCTTCCACCGGAACTCCATCGACTTGACAAGGAGCTACCAAACGGTTTTCGGGGTGGATCCTCGACCTCCACTTCGACATCTTTTTCTCCGGCGCCAATCACATTGATCTTTCCTAGAAGACCAGACAAGAAATTGGAGGACGCGTCTTCATCCGTTCCTTTGTCATTTTTCTTGGTTGCTTCAGCCTTAGATGCAGGATCAGCCTTTCTAGTGGCAACGCTAAGAGACTTCAACAACTTGAATGACTCCGCCTTTTCGCTCTTTTCTTCCTCCATCTTGTGGTCAGCCACACTGCCCAGGTTCCAAAGGCTCATTTTGGCTCTTCAGAGAGAGTTTCTACGCACTACCAAAAAGAATTACCGGTTAGAGGTGCTCGATGTCAACTCCAACTTCTGCGAATTGTGCACCAGTTGATGCGAGCTTCTATACTCACTTCTCCCCTTGGTAATTCACGCGAAAGATGCGGCATGTTCAGGTTTGAGAGCCGTGAAGAGACTGCGGGATCGAAAAATTGAGAATGATAGTTTGTTTTCTGTTGAGATCTTGGAATGAGCATCGAAGGGCCCCCATCCTCGCAGGAACACTGCGGGAGTCAAACACCACGAACAACACCTAACATTCTTCAAGACCCGATGAGATAATAGCGGACAGTACCGTGGCAGTCCCAAGTTACGGTGTTGCGCTTTTTGATCGTTGCGATGCTGTGACCGGAGCCATGAACCAGCGGAGCTTCTAGCAGTGGTACCGTAACCTTGGGCCGGGCACAACAGGCAAGTGGTTGTCTTCTTCGTCGCAGCAGGACAGCTTGATTGGAAGCCATGAATGGAGAGATCTAGCTGCGGCCCAACGGCAAACAAAGTCATGGGAGAGTTCAAGTTGCCCAGACTTAATCTTGTCAAATGCGTGCTGCACCATTTTTTGAAAATGCATGCTGCATAGTGTTGTGATAAGTGAAAATGACGATAGTTCTCCAGGTAGTAGCGTTGTGCTCTCTTGTCCACACCCGTTGGTTGCATCGCCTCGATCAACACTACCGGTACCGTTGCGATAGCAATTTGCTTATACAAAATTCTCAATTACTAAATATCGTCAGTGCATGATTTGTATCTATTTTTTAATGAGCATCTTGTGACCACTTGATCTCCTTCAAGTCAATTCCTTCCTGTACCATTTCCCAGAGAGGGCTCATTTCACGAAGCCTGGCTACATGCTTCTCCAACAATTCCACAACAAAATCGACTTCTTCTTCAGTGGTAAATCTCCCTAGTCCAAATCGCAGGCTGGAATGTGCCAATTCATCGTCCACGCCCAAGGCACGCAATACATAACTCGGTTCCAGCGATGCCGAAGTGCAGGCCGAACCAGAGCTCACGGCCACATTTTTGAGACTCATCAAGAGCGATTCTCCTTCGACGTATGCAAAAGAATAATTGAGGCATCCAGGATAATTGTGGTCGGGATCTCCGTTTCGCGCCACCTCGGGGATGCGTTCTTCAATGGCAGTTTGTAGTTTGTTGGCTAGATAGGAGACCCATTCATGATCGTATTCCATTTCCTTTTCGGCGAGAGCACAGGCAGCTCCCATGCCAGCACAGAGAGAGTGAGGCAATGTCCCGGATCGCAATCCACGTTCCTGACCACCACCACTAAAGATGGGTTCCAAGCGCACACGTGGACGCCGTCTGACGTAGAGTGCCCCGACACCCTTGGGTCCGTAGATTTTATGAGAACTCATGGACATCAAGTCCACTTTCATTTCATTGACATCAATGGGTAGTTTTCCCAACATTTGTGCGGCATCGCAGTGAAAGACAATTTTGCGTTCTCGACATAATTCTCCAATCTCCTGAATGGGCTGTAGCGTTCCAATTTCATTATTGACAGCCATGACACTGATAAGGATGGTGTCGTCTCGAATGGCCGCCTTTAATTGATCCATATCCACTCGTCCGGTGGCTTCCATGACGGGCAGATAGGTGACGTCGTATCCCTCATGTTCCAAGGACCGACACGAGTCCAAGACGCATTTGTGTTCGGTTTGTGTGGTGATCACGTGCTTGCCGCGTTTCTTGTAAAAATGAGCGGCACCCTTGATGCTCATATTGTTGGATTCGGTGGCTCCACTGGTAAAGACAATTTCCTTGGCCGAAGTGGCGCCAATCAAAGAGGCAATCTGCTCTCGGGCATCTTCGACGACCCGTTCCGATTCCCAGCCAAACGCATGTGTTCGAGAATGGGGATTACCGAATGATCCGATCTGCAGTAATATTCGCAAAAAGTGAAATCCATACCATAGAAGGTAGATACATCACAAGGAGACAGATTGCGATCGGCAGCATTTTGTGATCGACAGAGATAGAAGCAATACATAGATGATTCAAAAAGTGTGAAAAGTGAGAACCACAGTTGATCTTCGACTAGGATACCCCTGCGGTATACAAGACAATCTTTCAAATCCTTCCCAGACAAAAAGCACCATCCATCGGCTATCATACCGTTCAGCAGCAGCAACGTAACAACGTACCATAAAGGGCGCCATGGCATCCAACACTCGAGGATCCAAGGGTGTTGTGGCACTCATATCCAAGTAAGCGGCACGCCCATCTCGAAATTGGCCTCGAATGGAAAAGTTATTGGGCGAACCGTCGTCACCACGCAACAGACTGTCGGGTACTGGTTGACTGGTCTGATAGCGCTTGTCCGTCTCCATCTTGTCATGAGAAAAACTCGAGGGAGCATCGGTAGTACCAGCCGCGGAAGAAGAAGCCGCACGGGCCATTGCCACTCGACCCACCGATCTTCTTGCCAGGATCGATAACATGGCTTTGCTTCTTTAGAAGATAGAGTATAGTAGTGAACCTGTTGTTGTGGGGTAGCAGCGGCTTGTCTCAGACCTTGCCCTCGCTCTTCAGGTTCTGTGGATCTTGACCATTTGCATCCAATCCCAAAAATCCTGAAGAAAAAGATGGACGGCTGAGTGTGACGTCAGGTCGGCGTAAGCGTCTGGCTTCGCCCGAATGTACCGAACAATCGAGTGACAGTCGAATACTAGAATTTATTTCTGCAGAATTGCAATCTCCCAAAAGAACGGGCAGCCATAGGCTAGTCCCCTCAACCAGAATTGAATAAAAAGCCAAGGGGCTCAAGCAGTTAGCTAGTATTTGCTCCAATGCTATGAGTGATTACAATATCTAACCATGTTCTTTGTTGTCGTTGTTGCCCTGTTGTGGATTCCATGTCTGAGGTTTTGGCGGCAACTCGAATGAAGGTTCATTCTCCGAAGACTTGTAGTAATGAGCAGCTCGACTGGATTGGTCTGCCCAGTACTTAAACCAGCCAGCTTGCCGTTCAAGTTCATTGTAGAGTGGTGCTCCCTTTTGCAAATGGCACATGTGATTTTCGTGATGCTTGCTTGAGCATTCCACTGATAATACCGGTGTGTGTAATCAGCGACTTTTTAGCACGTCCTTTACTCATTTTTCCATTTCTTGAATCTTTTTTTCCCTTTGTTGTTCTATCTTATCCCAATTTGGACGGTTCTCTTTGCTCCATGCTGAAACCTGCTCACGCCAGAACTAATGTCTTCTGCTTCCAACATCTCATAGTAGTCATTGTAGCGTTGTATTTCAGCCTCGCGTTCGTCAGTTGCCTGTTCAGCACACTTGACAAGTTGCCATCTCAGTCTGTCAGATTCCTGCCTGATTTCTGCCTGCCTTGATTCTTCTTCTTTCCATTCAAAGTTGCACCCATCCATTGCTTCCCCTGTGCCACTTCTCCAAAAGCTGGCTGTAGGAATAGATCATTCATTCGTATCTTCTTCTCCAGCTCGGATCTTTGTTCGATGAATCTATTTTCTATTTTTTCAGCCTCATTTTATGATCCTCTTCTTTGCGTTCTCAAAAATATATCTGGGACCACTCTCTCCGTTTCCTGTCTCGGTCCTTCCTTTTCCGATTCTCTGATTGTTGCTTTGTTTCCTCCTTACGACTCTTGCACTTCCTTTTTCGTCGGCTTCCCTTCTTAGTCTTTCTCCTCTTCTGTCAATCCAGCCCGATGGAGACGCATTCTTTCTCGTTGGGCTTCTAAATCTGCAAGTTCCTGCTCGGTTGTTCTGTTGCTAACTTCCTCTGTTTGTATATGCGATTGGCCTCAAGTTTCCTATGGTAAGCAGGTGTTCCACGTTTGACAGGCATGTTGAAAGCAGCAGTTCCAAGACTATGTATTGATGGACGATGGATGGGATTTGGGCATGAACCCCCAGGGTGGCTGCTACGGCTGCTGGTGTTCTGGTTGTGGAGGGGCTGGGTTCTCGTCATGGGGCATCTGCACGGACATAAAAGGGGAGCTGCAAGGACGGAAATCACAACAAATAGTTCAAAAGGCCCTCAGCTTGCTAGCTGGTAGTTGAGGGCAAAAGGTACCGGTTGGTACCGTAGCCCCCTCTAACCTATACCGGTACGGTAGGTGGTAACTTCCCTGATTACCTTACCAATTCCTGGCTACGGTATCCTACAACGAAACAGCGTTGAGAATGTTGCTACGGCTGTACCATTAGACTAGTAGTAATGTCTTTTCTATTGGTAATTTTTGTTCTTTAGGAGATTCATCATTCAAGCGGAAACTTCTCTCGTCATTGGCATTTGCTCTGGAATCATATGGGCCATGGGAACAGCTGCAGGGTGGTGGCTGATCAGGTCGTCAGAGGATCGGTCCTCAACGTTCTTTGCTGCTCTTTTCATGCCTCGCTTTCTTCGGTTGAAGATCTTCCATCGGCGGCTTGCTTTCTTGCTGCTCTTGTTTTGTGAATCATCACTGCGACTGCTCTCGTTGGTGGTGCTGGCATTGCTCGTACTACTGCGGTCGTCCTCATCATCTACAGGCCACAGTTCGGATAGGAGAATTGGTTTCTCCACGATGATCCGGCCTCCGTTGTTGCTCTGAATCACCGAGACACTGACCGACTCTTGGACTTGATGGCTCGCTGGAATCATGATTTGCTTTATGCTGGTTTGTACTTTTTGGTTTTTGTGCTTCTTGTCTCTTGGTACCAGTATTGTGAGCTTCGTTGGAGCTTTTCCGTTCCTTTGTTTGCGTGGTCCTGCTCTGAGTCTCGTTGTTCATCGAAATTCTCGGTGGTGATATCGGTCTATCGTGGAACGGAGCCCTGTGGATCTCGATCTCCATGACCGTGTGTGACTAAAGAAGCTGTTAGAGCTGCAATAAAGCAAGCGGAGTTCTAGCAAGGGGAGATGTTCTGAGCTTCTAAAGGCCAAGAACTCGCTGCGTTTGCTGGCCGATGGCGAGGCAGTAGGAGATGACAGCAATAGAGACAGCTTGGACTTGAAGAAAGGAAATGGAGAGAAAATTCGTCTGAAAGAACAGAGATTGAGCAGACATGTGATTGCCAAAACTGTACAATCCAATGAGATCTCAGTATAGCACACCATGACCTTGCAATAGTTACAATCCTGTGTGGCACGGGTATTCAGTAGCAGCTCCTCGATCACCCCAAAAGCTAGAGATTGAGTAGGATTGGCAGCCAGAGCTGGCCTTCAGTGGAAGGGGATCTCCATCAAACATAGATCTCGCAACCTGGCGCTGGCCAAGTCCTTGGTTGAGAGCCTTGCTTGTGCTCTAGGCCGGCTATGCCCCCCTTAGTGTCTACCGTCAGCTCAGATCTGAGGAAACACTCCAGGGAAGTTTCTTGGAGGAAGAATCCCCGGATTATCTCATTGCAATCCATCAAGCTGCGCCATGCTTCGCTGAACAATAGCGTACAGTACAAAGTACTCTAGCTAGTACGTACTACGCTGTACGTGCCTAAAACACCTACCGTTGCAGTATATAGCTTGCCTGTATGGTACCGGTATCGTGTTGTACACACCGCGCTTACATGTATGGTACCGCATGGTAGAGATTGGTGGTGGACTATTGGCTTCCCTACCTTGTACGTCAAATGAAATTTTCGTTGTCCCGCCCTCAGTTGTAGCAACCTCCTTTCGAGGATACTGTTACTGTCTCAGAAGGAGGAGGTTCATTACTACTAAAGCCATACTATCAATAGGAAGGATTTGGATGCCGAGCCAACGAATCCCACCATGGCGTCTAATCTTCGGAGATCTCCAAGCGGTGGTGCACATGGGAACAGTGCGCAAGAGTATCGTCGTGGGATGCAAGAGGAGTTAGACGGTTTTCAGAAGCTGTATATGTCTCAACATTGCGACCAAGGTGGTCTTGAATACGCTGTCATGAATCAAATGAACGACATTATGTGGGAGACTGGCGCTATCATAAAAGCAATTCCAAGCTACAAGAGTGGCAAGAATCCCAATTACTATGAAGAATACTTCTCCTGCCTCGCGCAGTCGGATTGTACGAACACAACGGAGTGCAGAGACCTCGTATCGAAAGAATACCAGGGTCGCAGATGGAGCTATTTTCAACATCTCAGTGCATACCAAAATGGGATCACGCGGAAGGACAACCAAAGGCTCGACAAGGTTGAACTATGGCGACGTTTTCACTTGAGGGAACCACCACCCCCTGTACTCTGCACATGGTATTTCGACCCGCAACGTAAGGTCGGTGACATACAGACAGTCTTGCCAACAACATGGAGGTACATAGATGGAGCGTCGGATTTTCTGTGTCCCAGCTTTTCGAACTGCGCTAATCAACAGCAAACCTTCGAGTTTGGATCTGTTCATGTTGCTGTCGGATTCGTTGATTTGGGGCTCCTGATTGATTCGACTTTTCGAAGCGACATGTCAACAGCACCAATGCTGTTTCGTGGCTTTGATGCTAACTCTTTTGTGGTAGCAAGGACTATGGTGTTCTGGGAAATGATGCAGTCTCCCAAAGTGGAGCCTCGGTGGGTCGTGCAGGTTTGGTATTCGACAGTGTGGTCGAAGCGAGCGACCAACGAGTTTCTTGCAGCTGCCCGTCGCGTCGTTGCCAACGAGTGTGCTGATGAGGAGCGCCACCCGGCAACAGTGAGGGTGCTCCTTCACCACTGGTCCAATTCCAAAGGAGTGGGCCTCAAGAAGATCGTGCGTCGGCGCGGTCCGCTTCGAAACGAGAGCTCGGATGCGCTATATTTTGCTGCCAAGGATGACCGGGTGGAAATGTTGCGTTACCACCTCACGGGATCATTCGGTCTTCAAGGAGATGCCCCTTGCTCCGGAAGCATTTTGATGTTTGATAATCCGCTGAAGATTGTCAAGTCTGAACGACACAGTGTGTTCGAGACGCTATCTCTAAAGGATGTTGTGTGCAGCGAAGAGTGGAATGGGAGTTTCTTCCAAACCGCAGAGAAAGTAAAAGAGGCTCGAGTCCGCACCCTGATGGAGCATGCTCAGGCAGGACGGGTCAAGGTGAAGTTGAGTGTATCACTGCTTGATCCAGATCTTACGTCCCCCGCCATTGCAGAGATCAGGGAGCTGAACCCGAAGAGTATCTCATGGTCAAACATTCTGGATTATATGACCCCAAGTGAGTTCCACAAGGTTGCCAAAGCATGCTCTGAAACAGCCATTCATTCCGGTTATTCCATGAATTGGACGAGAGATGTCTTTGGGGCACACCTCATTGACTACCCAACGACAAGCATGGAAATCATCCGAGATGCCGAGCGCAAATCCGAATTGGAAGTCAAAAAGCTGTGTAAAGGTCGTGGTCGCATATTCTCGGTGCCGTTCCAGCATAACCCTCTCAATACGACCATCAGTCTCCTTGCCAGCCGATGCCACTCCTACTGGGCAGCCCACTTCTTTCGATCCAGTGGTTTCGAGCTCTTGGAGGTGAGGACATTGGAAAGCACCGGAAATCCCTTGAGCAGGATAAACTCGACTGTGGTATGCAGGTGGGCTTATAACATTGCAGCTTAGGAGACTTTGTACCGTGGATAGCTCAGCACACTTGTTTGCAGAAAGAAGCATCCTACTTTATTGCATTGAGTGTTCGAGAGAGCGGATTGGTTGATTGATGGTTGGGTGAGTGAGAGAGTTTAGTTGTGAATACCTAGCTAGAAAGAATCATTGGAAGTTGGAATAGTTTGACCTTTTAAATGCGTAGAAGCTATATATCTGCTGTAATCCAATCATGGCCTAGCAAACCCATAGCACATGCACCGCACGGTATCTCTTCGTGCCAAAATATCATCATCCCAGGAGCTGGTTGTATTAGGAACTTGACAATCTGGTATGACGCTCGCTTTTGATCGGTCTCAGCCAATCTACGCCCATCCTCTCAATTGATCCATTGCCGCAAAAACAGAGACTCTATCAGGATCCGAGTCATCAAAACAAGTGTTGAAAGCTCCGCCAGCGTAGACATCTGCGTTCACACACATGGTGGGCTCTTCGTCTCCAAAATAGATATGAGCTCCATTCACCAGCCCAGCTCCTTCATCAATGATGTCCTCGAATCGGTCTATATCAGTTCTCCCATCGCAGTACCAGCGGGTTAGAAGAACTCGTCCTTCCATCGTCATTTTTAGAGCTCCCTGCTCATTTGGGTCGCCAAAATTGATTCGTTTCCACAAAGGAGGTTGGCCGGCATTGACTTCAAAATGCTCAGAGTCTTCAGGCCGCGCTCTATCTGAAAGGATACAGCAACTTTGGTTAGTGTCTGAGCGAAAACAATGAACTTGTGCGTACACCGTGGGGTTCTCGGTGTTCTTGATCACATCGGCCACAGCTCTAGGGAACCGGATTGTCGCACAACCTGTAGCGGTATCCAACTCTGCGACCTCACTTTCCGTAAGCTCCGTGGAGAAGATGTCCGCTCCATTGAAGCTGTCTCGAAGACTGACAAAAATCTTCAGATTCGTGGATGATAAGGTGACGAGAGGAGCATTCCACACAGGAAGAGCTTCTGCTGGCGCATACTCAGCGTCTCGAACAAGTTGCCGAAAGACCCACTCGTAGCCTTTCACGTCCACCATCGAGCGGATGAAACTCTCAGCGTGGAACATTTTGAGGCCCTTGTAATGACTCCTAAGAATCATTTTCCATACGAATTCAGATGTGAACTCGTTTTTGATAAACTTGTCTGTCTGTAGAAGGAAGCGGCACAGATCTTTCGATGACAAAAATCCAGACAATGTCACCATGCGAACAACTTCTACCGGAAGCTTATTAGGTATTGTTGCGAGTGCATCTAACGTCTCGTCGTGCGTTATCTTAGCTTTGGCGTCCTCAATCAAAGCTTGAAGAGCCTGAAGCTGCGTCTCTGCATAATCCAGCAGCTCGCTATTTTGTTCTGTAAGCTCCAATTTCATGGCTCTGCAAAGAGCATCGATTTGTTGCTTCATCTCCGTCATGTTGCTCATGATTATGCAGTATATGCTAAAGGGATCCTGATGTTCGTTGAGGTTTTGTGGGGAGGCCTGCTGCGGGTACAGATCAGGAGCGCCACCCGGCAACGCACGGTGAGAGAGCTCCTTCACCGCACCATGCACTGCCTCAAGAAGATCGTGGTACCATGGTACCGGTACTGGTACGCGTACCGGTACCGGTACGCAATCATCTGGTACTCAAACCCCATTTCTACGATGTTAAGTCTGTGTAATAAGTACTGGGGTACGGGGGTATCTTTCTTTTCAACTAAGTCTTTGAGGCTCCACCAGTCACATTTTGGTACGGTACGGCAGGTACCGTACCTGGTACGGTACCGTTCCGGTACCGTACGCTTGGATAAATTCATGCCAGCATCCGGCACCCCTCGCACACAATTATTGCAGAATAGTATTGCACAACACCTACCTCACAACCGCATGTCACATCCACAGTAGGGCAGAAGACATCAGACAAAGAAGACCATGATACTGCATTCCTCAAGCCTCTTCAGTGTTCTGTTGCATTTAGTTGGTTTGTTCCAGCAATGTAGTGGCTTCTCCTTCTTTCCGTCAGCAACAAGACGCTCAAGTTCTACTAGTAGTGCTCTCTTTGGTCGTCGCGGTCGCAAGCAGCAACAGCAACGACAAAAGAAACAACCAACAAAAGAAGCAACCACTATCAAACAGCCTCGTGTCACTACCAGACCGAAATCCGAGCTTACTTCATTGACCATTGCTTCCGATTGTACGATTCAAATTGCTCAAATCAATTCCAACGATCCTTGGTGGGAGACGACCCAAAACCCGTATGGAGCTCGGGTATGGCCGGCCAGTTTCGGCATTGCTCAATATCTATGGCAACAACATCAACAGGGAGATTACCTGGAGGGTATTCAGGCATTCGAAGTGGGGTGTGGGACGGGGTTGGTGTCACAAACGGTAGCCTTGGCGGGTGCCACGGTGCAAGCGACTGATGTTTCCCCAGTGGCACTGCAATTGACCCAACAAGGATGGGACGCGACTGTCAAACAACACCAAAACTCCGCTTCTTCTTTATTGACCACTTCGATTTACGATATCACCCAACCACTTCCTCCCCCAAACGACTCGAAGACGACGCGATCACAACAATTGTTTCTCGCATCGTGTGTATTGTACGAGGGTGATTTAGGTATTGCCATGGCCCAACGAGTCAAAGAAGCGTATCAAAGAGGAATGTGGATCTTATTGGGAGACGATGACTCGGGATATCGAGAAGGGGGCCGGCAAAGCTTTCTAGAACAATTAGCATTGGGATCATTGGGCAGTATTACTAGTCAAATTGAATGGAAACAAGGCACTGTGCAATGTACGGAAATGGGGTGGAGGGAGAAACCATTCTCGTTTCTAGAATTCAATGCACCAAAAAAGGAAGTGTAAAGCGAAGGAAGATATAATATGTTGTGACTATCTCTGAGGAAGCCGCCAAATTCAACACTGGTGGGAGCCAGTTTTCGATGAAATCTTCAATGGACGCTGCAAGTCGAAAGCCGCATCGTGGACGATACATGATGTCTTGCCACTGGCCGAGGCGACAACGTTGAATGGCAATGGCGGCGGGCCGATCTCCACCTGCGGTAGAGTAGTCTGCCTCCCCGAGGACCAGCGTAACCGCTTCTTCAAACTCGCAATCGTTGGCCTTCACTACTAGACTACTAGCTATTTCCCATACTCTCGCTCGTTGAAAATCGGTTGAGCTGTACTGGGCTGGGAATGAATCTCAAAAGAGAGTTCAAGGTGTTTAGAGGAATTCTGCCTCCGCACATTGCTTTGTTTTTGTGTGTCCCCATCCTATGGTAGGACCTGCGCTCAAGGAGGAATGAACTTCCATGTGGCCCCCGAGTGCGAAATATAGTAGGCCCCTTTTATTTCAAAGATCATTTGTGTCCAAGACGGTTGCTCATTGGCTTTAAAAAAATGATGAGGGGTTGTGCCGTACCGGTACAAGGCCGGCCACTAGCCCCGCATGAAAGAGAAGCCAAATAGCTCTGCTGGCTGTTGTGTTGGATCAATAAGCTGTTGGAGGTTTGGAGGTTGATGCCAACAATGACCCTCGTCGATCCAGCAGCCACAAATCTTTCTTTGTATCTTTCAAGTTGAGTTGTGCAATAGAAGTTGTTGTACCCATCCAAAAGACCAGCCCCCACATAGCTAGTAGACTAGCTAGATTGGTGATTATCATGCCTGCTGTTCGCAATCCATTCCATGAGCATTCTCCAAGGAGTAGCAGTGGTGGTGGTGGCCACAATCACCGAGAATCTGGAGGATTGATGACATCGTTTCGCAAGGCCGTGGTATATGGTGGTGCTGCCTTTATGATGATGAATCTGTTCATCATGTTTGAACTTCATGTCCCCTCGACAGACACGAAAACAGGTAATGCAGCTGGCACTACTGTGGGAGCTGCCACAAACCAATTTCCGTCTCAAGTGAGAAAAGCACGAGAACAACAACAACAGCAACATCACCATCCCAGCAGTACCAACACTCAATGTTCCTTTCGACAATATCCTCCCCGTCGGTATTACGGACTACAAAAAATGGAACAACCCGATTTCTTGACTGCCGTGGATTATGTCTATGGCGAATACCCAATCATGCTGCAACCAGATACCAATGTCATCAATACGCAAGAACAAGGCAAACTCTGCGTCGATCAAAGCGAATGGCTATCTCCGGAAAAAAACAATCCGGCCAAGGAACTGCCATTTGCCGATGGGACCAATCCATCCATCTTGTCGTTGGATCGACTCGAACAAAGCTATCCCGACTTGGTGACCCAATGGAGACAGCTGGGGGCCTCCTTTATCGCCACCATTTGCATGACCGATTCCCAATGTTCCTACCAAGATACCAAGGCCGAAATACAACAATACAAACTCAGTCACGATGACAAGGCCACCGTCGTACAGACACTATTGCTGCTCCTCGATGATCACTTTCAGACACTCCAACAAGCCACCATTTACATTGAACGAGATGCTCCCTGGGGACGCAAATTCCCAAAGCCAAAACCCAACGCCAATGGTGTAGGATTTGAAGTCATGACACGAGCACTCGACGATGCCCGATTGTTCATTCATCTTAACAAACTGTGGGTCAGTTACCGGGAAGGACCCAATTTTGGATACGAAAAACAAGTCTTGAATGAAATCCACATGGCCATGACGGCGGCGGGAGGACAATTGACGGCGACCTTGAAAGCATCCGAATCGGCATCCTTTTGTTGTGGACGCAACATGGCACTTATGGAACATCTCGACGATCCCACACAATTGCAATCACTGACGTGGGCCGATCCCGTTACGGTCATTGATGTAGACGATGGACGCAAACAAACAGCACCGAAACAACGACAATTGGCCGAAAGCAAGAAAAAGAAAAAGAGTCACTTTCACGGGACCAACGCGTTCATGGTGTACTTGCCCAAGACACAAGAATTTCTCGGTATTGGACACTTTCATCGACCATCGGGACGGGATGCCTTTAACCCGTATGCAAGGTTTGGACATCATTACACGCACACCTTTTTTACCATTTCCAGCAAACCACCCTTTCGACTCCTCCGACTCAGTGCCGAGTTTGTCCTGCCGTCCAAATCCAAAATATTGGGCAGTGATGATGCGGATATCATTCAATTCTTGTCGGGGTTGGAAGTTATTACCACCACTACTGCAAGCGGCGCGAAAAAGGATTATGCCGTCATTGCCTATGGGATTAATGATTGCGAAGGTGCTGCCGTCTATTTGTCCATGAACAAGGTGAATCAACTGTTGCGACCAGTGCCAGAAGGAAAGGAAGTCGTGGATCTGATGGAACCATTGAAACAACCACGTGGCAAGACAGGGTAGGCGGAACGAACGAGTGAGAGAGCATACAAGAGTACAGTCAAACGATACAACTTTTGTTGCGCTCTGGCGCTGATGCTATGGGATCTCCCAATCCGCTAGCTCAGCGAATGGCAGGAAATCCTACGCCGCAGCACAAACGGTGAGCAAGTTGCCGGATCAAGTTTGCAGCTGCAAAAACTCATACCAATACCGCACCCTTAAAAAGTGGCCAATAGAGGTCTTCAGGGAACTCCGATTGACTACCCGACAACAAGCAAGAATTCACCATGGAAGCCAAGAAGATATTGTGAGATGGTGGCCTGTTCCTGCTCGACGCTCTTTAATACAACGGCTAGTCTCTCCTGAGCGCTGCCAATCCACTGGGGCAGGATATGATTTCGTGGTGGTGCAGTCTTTGAGGTGGGACATTGGAATGGGGTGGAATGCATATGTGCTGTGCAGCTGGTTTTATAACCCTTCCATAACCCTTCCACTATGTTGGATGTTGGACTCGGAGTGGTGCCTATCCACGGGGGTGCATGTTACCATGACATCTTACCGTCCCATAGAAAACTCCCCTACTCTCAAGCCCCCTATTAGATTGTGCTGGGACACACGAATGAGCTGGCCCCACCTCGTCTTTGTACTCGCAACACAACCACTGCTCGTACAAGGTGGGTTGGGCTTGGCTAGCTAGCACAAAACCAACTGGTACCCAGTTTTTGACCGAATGTTTTTTAAAACTTTTGGACAAACAGTCTTCAAGAGTCTCCCTTATTGCTGAATTCCAACCAAACAATCTAGAGTTGTCTACATCACAGCGATGTAGAAAGCATTATCTTATGCCAAACTAGAAGCATTATCTTATGCCAAACTAGATGCTTGGCCTCCTCTATCGCTTCGTCTCTCTCTCTTGCTTTCACCCTCGTTTCTGTGAAGAATATCCACGTAGTGAAGCTTCACGCGAAAAGGGCGCATGTACCTCTGCAGCCCCGATTGCTCACTTTTGTTCTTTTCTTGGATCGATGGATTGTGAAGATACAGATAGCAGCAGATTCTCAGGCCTTCACAAGCAAGTCCATGGGAATAGCCCTGCAGGCCTATCCAGGAGCGACACCTTGGAATCCGAGAAGGATAGAACCAAACACCTCATAATATTCTTTCATGGGGGCCTGTGTGGCTTTACGAGCTCTGGAGCAGCTTGGAGGTCACATCTGGCCTCAGTCCTGCACAAAAAGCTAGATTTCGCTGCCTGTCGAGCTGACAATGATGTTTGGTTTAGGCCTGCACAGAGGAAAAATGGCAGCCTCCACGATGAAAATGTTTTGGTCTACACTGACGACATCCTGTGCATTTCCATGGACCCCGACTCAATCTTATGTCCTTTGGACCAACGCTTTCTACGCAAACCAGACTCCATGAGCAAGCCAACACAACATCTTGGTGCCTCTGTCAAAGAGAATAAAATCAAGCCTAGTACTGAGCCTCCTTGGTGGACCTGGGCTATGGGATCCGAACAGTATGTCAAGGAAGCCATTTGTAATGCAAAACCTGGTTTGAAAAAAGGAGACTTGTTTTGAAGACCAGAGCAGCTTCTGTCATGTCCCTCAACTACCGCTCACAGAGGTTTCTCAGGTAAGTGTATCATATTCTATAGTTGTCGCAATGCTTTTGTGCAGCCAACTGACCCATATCAGCAGTCTTGAACACTGGATTCACTGCGGTTGCCCGCTTCGCAGTGTTCTGTCACCCGCAACTCTGGCGTCCTGTAACATGCAAGGCGAGGGCAACCGGAGTGAGGTCCAGAGGCCAGTGTTAATCCACACTGGCCTCTGGATTGAGCTTTTGTCGCAATGCTTTTGTGCAGCCAACTGACCCATATCAGCAGTCTTGCGCAAGACTGCTGATATGGGTCAGTTGGCTGCACAAAAGCATTGCGACAACTATAGAATATGATACACTTACAATAGTCTATAGCTCTTATTGGTAAATCGTCTCTCACGATTGTTTGCAGTTTCACCTTGCGGCTTCGATGCCTCCTCACAAAAGATGCATCTGCTGAGAACCAACTTTTAGAGCGGTACATGACACCTGGAGTGTTCAACTATCCTAGACTGCCGTGGAAAGAACACGGTGCTTCAGGATGCTCAAAATGTTGAAAAATTGGATGCAGAGCATGCTTCGAGTTCATCTTCGGGGCAATCGATGAAAACGTTCCAGAAGAACGTGCCTATTTCCATTTGGATAGCAACCAAATGGCGACAACGTGGAATAAGAGCAGGGGGCAGTCAAGGCAACAAATAAACCCATTTATAGGCATACATGATTAAAGACTACTTTGTTCACTGTACCTTCTACTGATTGTTCTTCTTCCTCACGCTGGAGCTACATACAATGAATAATGCAACATTCACACATAGGCTATGTCTGCTCCATCCACATTGTCTTGTCGTCGTGTCTACGTAATTCAATCAGTTCCAACATAATGGTAAAGAGAAAGCACATTGGCCACAAACTGTAGTGCCCAAATCTACCTTTGAAGAAGAAATCCAACTCCATTGCCTAAAACTATATCAGAGAGAGCCGCCGGTAGAATCATCAATGTTGCCTACAAACAAACAAAAATCAACCTTGCTGGTATGCTTACCAAGATCCAGTCTGACCCTGAGAGGGAGTGACCGGTTAAATTAAGCTGGTCCTCTATTGTGGGGATAGCTATACATGTATGTGTGCGAAAGGTGAAGACTTCAGGCGGTGCCAAAGTTGTTATTGGCGTCCATATCTTGGCCTTCAAGGGTGCAAGGTGAAGACCTCAGCCGGGGACTGCCACAAGTCGTTATTGGGGTCCATGTTCTGGCATCCAAGAAGGTGTACAAGAGAAGCACCTGATGGTACCTGTGGTTTTGAAAGCCCTCCAAGCTTGCTTCTGGCTAGAATACAAGATCTGAGAAGAGAGTAGAGATGTGATGACCCAGATGAGAGATACAGTGTGGTCATGTAGATGAGATAAGATTGCTAAGAGGTTGAACGTTCTGCCTGGCCATCCTTGCATTTGTCCAGGCATCCAGGTGGGGTGGTGAGCGAGCCAATCACTTTTCAGTTCGAAAACACCACAGTACGTTGCACTGTAGCGCTGTACCGGTACGCATAGCTATGCGAGCTAGAAGGGCACCTCTGGCCGGTGACATGAAGCAAGAAGAAAGGAGGGGGAATCTGCCCCAGTACAGTAACCAAGATGGCACAAGCCCAAGCTTCCACATGATTGCTACGATGTAGTTCAGTTTGGCTCACCCGATTCCTCTGGCATACCGACGCTGTCCACAGGCCTTCTGGTGTGCTGTCATGCAGTGCCTTACCGGTGGCGTGCTAGATCGTGATCACACCGTCTCTTCGTTTCCGGGGATGAATCCGGTACGAACAGTAACGGTACGGTACGGAGTTCCAAGAGGACACTGCACTCCGTACAGGTATTCAGCATTGTAGTTGACCTCGATGGTATTATAGTGGCAAAGGGAGGAGCTTTTCAAGTCTTGTTGTGTCTGCTGGCTGTGTGCTACGGTCTTGTCCCGTACCGTACAGCGGTATACTCGTACTCGTGAGCAATGCTGAGGTGACAAAACAGGTGCACTTCCGCGGTCCGCCTTGGGTCCGTTGAACAAACATCGCTCACCGGTTTACGTGCACCGATTGTGACCAATGATCTTTTGTTCTCAGAATTTTGGTGTGAGACAACAAACAATGGCAACATGATGGTTTTAGGCGCTTCTGTGCGGCTGGGAATACTGATTCTGTTGGCGTCGGTATGGACGTCTAGGGCCAATCTTCGCTGGGCTTCCTCCGGTGGAGGACAGAGGGCAATGACTGCGAACGTGGGATGGGCCCACGCATTCAGCCGTGCTGGATTGATCGATGCTTCGACGTCCTCTTCTCTGTTTTCAGCTGTGTCCACTAATTCTGGTGGCTCCTGGTTTAGCATCCAGTTCTTTTATTCGGAGCAATACTTTCAGAAAGTCGTCGAGAGTCCCGACTCGGTGTACGAGTTGACCAAGACATGGATGGATTCGTACCTGAGCTACTCGCAGGGAGCCCCCACCTCGATTATCTGTGGTACGCTGACATTCTATGGGTTGATCCCGGGCTTGAAAGACTTATTTTCGGCATGCAACCTCTTTTGTTCCGTAAACTTTGACTACGCCGCGTATGTGGAGGGAATGGTCAAGACAGCAGCCATGGACTACTTGGATGTCACACTCGTGGATCGTATATTGAACGGGGAGAATCGAGTGCCAACCATGTCGAATACGGATCTATACATCCAAACTTCTTTGTCGCCCACTGCCGTTTCGGAAAAGAACAAAAATCAGCTCGTTCTGATTGGGCCCAATGATGACCCGTCCAGGGCATATGCCTTGTTTATTCCTGTTCAGTATTCGGTCAAGAGCAGCTCGACATTCTACAATTATGCGGTCTACGATGACGAGCTCCCGTTTCAGGTAACGAGAGTAAAGGCTCCAGAGAAGGCCAAGTTTAAACAATGGACGCCATATCATCTCTATCCAGGCGACGGGGGCATGTTGTTTGCCGACTTTGATTCTCATCTCCACGACGAGGAGATGCACTTTGGAGAATTGGAAGCCGAAGACCTGGAAGACGGAGGCGATGTCACGGGGGAAGGTTCGTACAGCAAAACTGGACCCATGGCGGACTTTTTTGGAGGCGCCACTCCCAAGGCATCCCAAATCATGGGTGCCACATCAGCTACATTTGCGCGTTTCTCCGGAACGATCCCCTCGTTTCTGATGCAATGGTTGTCGGTCCAACGGAACACATATATCACGGGCTCGATTTGGGAACAAATAGCTTGTCTGCCCGTCTTGAATGCACTCGCCAACCTTCTCTATTCAAATTCGTTTACCACAAACTTTTCCATTTGTTCGCAATGGCCCGAACCATGCGGCAAATCCGATGGCCGCTTCGCCGACGGCGGCAATACCGATGGACCCAGTCTGGCGCAGAATATCGGTCACTACCACACTTATGACGAAGCCGACTTGAGTGAAACGTTGAAAGTGATTGTCACCAACAACAATTTCTTTGAAGATACCAATGCCAAGTTCTTGTCGTACTTTAGCACGACCTTCAACCAAGGAGTGACGCCAGGAGCCTATGTGTGGCCTCCTGGCACGGTCCCGGGAGATGCCGCCCAGGAAAATCCGTGGCGTTCCATGCAGATTTTCTCGGACTATTTGGACGACGAATCCTTGCTGGCGGCCTTTAATACCATTCCTGGAACGACCTTGACGACGGCGGTGTACGAAGTGACGACATTGGACAATCCGGTCTTTGGGGTCAAGGCTGGTCAGAGAGTGCAACTCTTGTTGCTTCAAATCAACAGTGATATTCCCACCGCCATCTTTACCGCAAGTCAGATTACACAGAACACGGTGCCACTGGCCGAGTTGGCGAAGACGATTGCTTCCAGTGATGAGTTGGTGTCCAGAATACAAGCCTTCATGGCTCTGTAACATGAAACGAGAAGCTACTAGTATGGAAGAGAGGGGACAACGGTGAGGATGGGTTTCAGAGGAGGAGGGCAGGATGCAAGAGTGCGAGCCGAACAACCCAGTGAGCAGATCAGCCGCACATCCAGGAAAGGGTAGCAAGGGAGGAGGAGGGCAGAGAGGATCAAAGGACAAAGACTAGGGGAAGAGGTCAAGAGTGCCTCGATCGTCCCAACACCGAGAGCTCATTTGGATAGCAGGAACGTGTGAACCACACGCACAGGCACATTGTAGCCGCTTGAGCCAGGGCAATGCTCAACCGAGCAGGAGCAACCACAGAGTACTGTACCTGCTGCATGTATTAGTTAACTTACTTGTAAAACTATAGCCATTCTGGAACATGCCAGTGCGCTGAACTAGATCCGGTGTAGTTACCGGTACGCTTGGCAAGCTTATCTTTCTAAAGTTCAAGCATTTGTGTTGACATGTCGAACTTTTGGATCAGCCACGGTGCGTGGATTGGTGGATGCATTGGTTTTTGTGAGGGTCGCCCCGCTCAGTCCTGTGAAGAATGGTTCGGGAATGATCCATTCCCAGCCACTTCTTTAGCGAACAAACAAACGGACGTCGAGAATTTTCAGGAGCGTCGAGAGAAGAAGCAACATAAAACAAGAGACCTTGACAGATGGGAATGGATCGGATCGACGCCTCGACTGCTCCAGCATGAATAGGACTTCCTCGTGTTTCCATTTGAACATCCTTACAACCTCAGAGCTACAATAGTAATACTACTAGTACTACAACAGCAACCACTGCCGCCTAAGCCATGTCTGTGTTTGACCAAACTTTGCAAGGATGGACGCCCGGGGAGGAGTCCACGGGAATGGGAACCCATCAACATCATCCGCCGCAGTATCAGCAGCCGCAGTATCAGCAGCAGCAGCAGCCGCAGTATCAGCAGCCGCAGCAGCACTATGCGCCGAAACAGGAGGACCAGCAGCATCAGTATCATCAGCATCAGTATCAACAGCAACAGCAATATCATCAGCAAGACAATAGTACGATGAATCACAACAATAATTCAGGTGCGGGCGTGGATGGCCTGGGCATGTGGAGAGCGTGGGCGCACAGTTACAACGAACCCAAGTACGCTTGTCTGGATTTGTTGGACAATTGCTTTGATGCTACTTTGACTTCTGGATTCCACGGGAAGGTCACCATGGACTATTTGCTACCGAATGGATTGATCATCACCAACAACGCCGCCAAGCCCATCAAGTCGCTGGAAGTGACGCTCATGGCCTACCGCAGTGAAAAGACGGCAGTCGATTCGATTGGAGAATACGGAGTGGGACTGAAACACTCGTGTGCCACACTCTCCAACATTAACTTTGTCTTGACACGAAACAAACACGAGTTCGACTTTGGAGTGATTGCCAGGGATTTGCAGACCAAAGACAGTGTCTCCTTGCCGCATTTTCCCTTTGGCATTGAACCACACCTACTAGCCAACAACAACACACCACCAGAAGTAATCGCACAGGAACTACGTCCGCAGATTGAAAAAATACTACACGACAATCCTCATGTCCATGCACTCGTCACCAGTACTCTGGGACAAGGCTTTCCGGACGATGCCGCGGAACAAATCGTTCACTACGCCATGGACATGCTGACGAAAGACCAGTGGAAACAGGAAGACCACGTCTTTCAATTGATCATTACCGACTTTCTACATGCCAGCAACGCGCGGAGTGCCAACGGAATGATGTACCAACCCGCACGAAACTTTCTGAATGAAGTACGCGATCTCATTCAAAAATACTACATCAATATTCCGCTTCATGATTTCGATTTTTGGATCATGGGAGAACGCATGCACTTTGTCTACTGGCAGAATCGATTGGTCGAAATGGCAAAATTCGAAGTCAACGTGCCAAAGGACACCAAAATTAAGGACTTGACGGACGACAATTGGATGGATCAGGGATACAGTCTCAGCATTTACTGTGGATTTGATGCCCTACGATTTGGGAACAAGCATGGTGAAGACAAGGGATTGAAACTCTGCTTTTACAGTCGACAATCGGGACGATTGATTGAGGAAAATAAGGATGCTCGTGCCGTTTTGGGACTCCCTGCGTCCGGGGTGGACTATACGCAGGGATTGACCGTCATTATTGATGATGTGGCGGGAGAGTTGCCCTTGAAACCTGCCAAGGATGGACTTACATGGTCCAAAGAACATGCCGGTGCCATTCACGAAAGCAACTTGTATGCGTGGGCGGGAGCGGTGGCGCGATTTTATTGGGATTATCATTCTCGAAAGTTTCAGGGAGAAGGTCCCGTCAAACACAATGATTACAAGTCCCGCTTGAATAGGGCGGTCGTGTCGTTCATGGAGCCCATCCAGAATCGAATTCAACAACAAGCAAAAATGCTCAAAGAGGGAACTCCGCTTCCCGAGGACGAGTGTTCGCGGATCGAAACGGCAAAATTCACAGAATTAAGTGACCCCAACTGGTACATCAAACATGTCAAGAACTCGGAGCGGATTGAAATCCGAAAAAAGGCACACAAGGTGGAGTTGTGGCCACAACCTGCGACGGTCTTTCGATTCAACGAAACGCATTATCCCCCCAAAATTGACAACAACAGCATTATCCAAAACAACAACAAAGTTCGTGGACGGGGACTTCCCACCAGCCTCAAGCGGAAATCGTCTACCGCGGGTGCTGGCGCCGAGGAAGAAGAGGCGCCCAGACCGCGTGGACGTCCTCCAAAGAAGACTTCGACTGTGAGTGCTGGGCGACGTCGGTCATCGGCAGCGTCTCAGGCGTCGTCAGCCCGACGCACATCCGTAACGCAACCGAATTCGGACGACAGCAGTTCTGGCAGTGAGGAAGAAGAAGTCAGTACCGTCGTGGCTACGCCTCCTGCCAAGAAGATGCGTATGATCGCCGTCAAGAAAACACCCCGCAATTCTATTGCACCGCAGAGACGAATCGGGATGATTACACCACAGCATGGCGACGACAGCAACGATGGCGCGAGGGTGAAGGAGCTGGAAAAAGAACTCCAGAGCAGCCAGGAAACGGTGAAACGTCTCGAAGAACAGTTAAAGGGTGCTACCGAACGACTGCTTGAGGTGCACCGGGCAGACCCGTCGAGAACTCGGGCCTTCAATGCAGAACGTCACCTTCAAACCACAATGGAGGAGAACGAAAAACTCAAACACGACAACAAGGAAATGACGTCGGAGATTGAACGGCTTCAAACCGAGCTCCAACAACGTGACAGCAAGATTCAAGAGCTGCAGCGGAGAAACTATGAGCCTCACCTAGGGCACGGGACTGATGATATCTAGAAAGTGACTCATCTGGCGGACGAACAATAGCTCGGATCTCGACCGTCTTTGGATGTTTTCATGTGTCGACGGCAGCAAAGGGGAGGCGCCACGCTTTCTGTGTTTTTATTATGTTATGGAACTGTTTGTTTGATAGTGTTGACATGTCACCTTCATAATAATACGTACTGGTATCAGTGATCTGAAGACGATGTGGGGCTATGTTCTATTATTGCGGTACTGGCTACCAATCTAGATGTATAACTAACTAAGAAACTGCTATCAACCAACTGCAACAACGTTCTAAAATAGCCTGCCCCATCCTTCTTGCTAAGCACTTCAAGGGAGAGATTGCCACCCATGGCATACCTGGTACCGGTACCCTATGCTTGACGGTTTGTCTCCACAGCGCCGAAAAAGACAGCAGCAGCAATTAACTCCTGCGGTAGTCACAGTTCAACTGCAACACGGCAGCAAAGATCACTGTGGAGTTCATCGTGGAGAGTTGACAAGATTGCGTTGTAAAGGCCAGCGCCGAGTCTCATAAACAAAGCACCAGGACAAACAAGATCAAAGAACCACCACTACCAAGAAACAATGATGAAGACTGCATTCGCTATTGTATTTCTTACTTCTCAAGTCAATGGATACGGACTTCGAGGACTCACACTCCAACACTATTGTCCGCTTCCGGGAACTGGGAACACGTGCCCCAGCAACATCAATACTGTGGCCTGTGGAGAAGGCTATAGATGCGAGTACGATAATGCGTGTTTGGCCAATGCTGCTGGCTTTGTCAACTGCCTACCCGTGGATGATTTTTGTCCTCTTCCTGGACCCGGAATCAGCTGCCGTAAGTGATAAACTGCAACGACCGTGAAACGTTACAAAGCAACAAGCTTTTCCAACTAATGCCACTTCTGTTTGTCACACACAGCCCTCAATAAAGAGATTGTCATTTGCAACCAAAAGTGTCAGTACGATAATTTGTGCCTGGCTAATGCTGCTGGTTTTGCATTCACTTCTTGTATGCATGTACCACCCCCGTGCAACCCAACCACTGCCGCAAATTGTCCACCCATTCAACCACCCCCTGTTACAAATCCCCCTGTGCCCCCATGCAATCCCACAACAGGAGCAAATTGTTGATATATCTGGTTGTAAAACAAAATAGAATAAAGGTAGAGCGGATTTTCGACAGTGTATTACTACAAGTACATAGCATCATGATATCCGTACTCTTTTGTGTTCTGGCGGTAGAATGTATAGTTTTGGCTTGCCCACTGCTAATTGTTAAGTTGCTAAGCCCAAAAGATGTGAGACACTCCAAGTACGCAATCAGTGCCACATCCCGTTAACCGGACTGCAACTTCAACATCATATTCTTCACCACCTGCAAAGTCTGGATCGTCCATCAACACAAGAAGTTCAACTACTCTTTGAGGTCTCAGTCGGTATTTTTTCTTCAGCTCGTGCTTGTTGATGTGTGTCACTTCACCATCGATTGCATATTCAAGTTGAAAGCTGTTGGGTAGACCTTCAATTGGGTCTGTACTATCAGTGGCCTTCAAGAATCTACGGGCATTATTCTCAGAGGTCCAGTCCTTTGCGATTGTGACCCATTCTTTTCTGGCCCAGGAGTGAAACTTGAGAATGATAAGTCCTTCCTTAATTTTCACGTTCATCACCAGCCATCCAGAAAAGCCATTGCCAAGCAGCATGCCACGGGCGTCGTGGTGGCCACTGAGCACACACTCATGATGCGTCCATCTGGCACACACGGCTGCATAACTCCCATCACAGTACCCTTGTGGTTCTTCCACAATCTCCCACCCTATGCCGGGTTTGATTTCATCAAGTTCACGATGCTGCCGAACCCTGAGGGAAGGCTGCTGAATTTTTGTGTTGGTTGTCATGTCTGTAGTCTGAGCCGGTGGACCTCGCTTTGCAGCTGTTGCAGAATAATTAAAAAGCACCTCTTCCGCCATTCTTCGCCTCCCACTGACAATGGACAGCACATCAACCTGGCCAGAGGGTACATCATAGCAGGAGTTGTGTGCATCTAGACCCCCATAGAGTTTTGTCTTTGCATTCTTCGGGACATACCCATTGTCCGCAGGTTCCACAATTGTATTGATACCGGTCTTGTCAAAGTTCGCTCGGGGAGTGTAATGTGTTCGACCCTGTTTTGGTGAGAAGATCCAAGCCACAAAGTTAGGTTGAGGACAAACTTCCAAACCCAAAGGGGAAGATTGATGCATCTTACATTCATGGTCGTGTTGCACAGTCTTTCTGGTAGTCCTACATCTTTGATGGAGTAACAATCGCCAAGCTTTGGATCCATGTTCTTCACTTTGGTTTGAATATTCTCAAAATAATCCTGGACATGCCAATACTCATCTTCCAGTGGTGGCCCACCTGGAGGCAAACAAATACAATAGGAATGTCAGCATCCAGGCAACCGTTGATGATCAGAGACTCATGGCAATCAACAACCTACCCATGGTTCCATCCGAGAATTGCTGAATGGCCATTTGCAGAGCTTCCAGAACAGAGAAGGCTAAAACACGCCCAGTCAACTGATGTTGCCTCCATCCTGGGTGCCACTTTACTTGACCTCCAATTTTGTCGTTTTGACTTTTTTCAGGCTTAATGCCGTCATCCCTGTCGATCCAACACTTGGTGCAGTAATCATTATGTCTGTTGCAGACCTCTTGATTGGCTGGGTCACATTTCAGGTATTGCACAGCCCATGGCAAGGTTTTTGCCTGCTCATCACTGGTGGTCAATTCAATTCCATCCAATCCCAGCCCAAATTCTCCCACATCAGCATCGGCATGTTCGTGCAATACCTTCAAAAGGTCGTAGGTTCCTCCAGCACTCCATAGAACTGGTACATGATCTCCTGCTATTAAAGCTTGTCGGAAAAAGAGATCAATGAGATGTTGGTCAAACTTTTCTGTCATTGCTGCATCCCAAATAAGAACGTCAATTTTTCGGCCGTAAATATCACCCGAGCCTAATGTATTCTGAAGAGTCCCCAATGCACCTTGTGAGATGTTGCGTGTAATGAGTCTGACTCCTAATCGAGCAAAAATTGGTGCCATTATTCTATGGAATTGCATGGGGTAACTCTGACGGAAGTGGTTGCTGAGAATGAAAAAAGTACCGTGAGAATGGAAACACAAGAGAATACCTTTGATGCTTCCCAATATTGCAATGCAAACGTACCCATGACCCGCTGCAGCAGAGTTTCCTGCTACCACTACCGTGAAGGTACCACTTGTCATGATGGCATGTAAGATGCGCCGAACCAATCCATCAAAGCTACGTCGAGTGGTCCATCCTCCATTTCCTCGGCTCATACTCCCCTGAAAGGCTTTGGGTGGTCCTTTTGCCGTTTTCAGATCAATCTTGTCCCAGTGAAACATTCTCATTCGTTCTGCCAATCCCTCGGCACCTTTTGGTTTGGGATGACCATACTCTTCAAAGATGGCCTCCATGGCTCGATTGACCAACAATTCGGCATCATTGAGAAAGTGGTTGACAAAGACAGCATCGCCTTGCCAACTGTCGTCAGGAAAATCTTCTTCCGGCACATCGCAGACCGGTTCGTACTGGTCGCACAAGTCATCATTTTCCGGACGATACTGCTCATTGCCGTCCCAAAAGTGCCATTTCCCATACTTGACTGCCAGACTATCTTTGATTTGTTTGCTGACATTTTTGGCAACAGGGTCTGGAGGAATGGTTGATAGCTCGGAGTACGTGCTGGCTCGTCTGTGTTCTTGCTGGTTGTTGTAGTCGTTGTAGTCACTTTTTGCGTGGGTGTTGATAGGCTGGGCTCTACTGCTATCCAAAAAACAAAAGAAGATGATGCAACGAAGAAGGACCAAAGCCCATCTTGTCTCAGCAGCCAAGTTGTTAAAAGTCACCATTGCATGATCTGTCGGCTGAACGAAGAGGTTACTATGGGTTGGAGGGGACACGTCTTGTTGTGTCGTTGTGTCTTCCTTTGGGATCTTCTTTACTAGCTAGTAAGCCAGTGAAGCCGCTCAGAAGATGACGACGGTGACGTTGTGCCTCCAAAGAAGAACACAAACGCAACAGAAATGAGAGGTCAAACCACGCATCCATACCACCACTGTGTTGAGCTTTTGTTGGAAAGCATCGATCAAGATGAGTGAATCCAATGGAGCTACCCACAGCTTTTCTGTCGGAGGCGCCTTTTTATCGGAAGCGGAAAAGGCCGCTTTGGAAGCGACTGCCAATGCCATTGCCACTCACGGGAAAGGAATCACTGCTTGCGATGAAAGTCCCGGTACCATTGGCGGTCGCTTTGAAACCGTGGGCATTGAGAACACGGCAGAAACTCGTCGTCGGTACCGACAAATGCTGTTCGAGACACCCAACGTCGAGAAGTATCTGAGCGCCGCAATCTTGGACCCCGAAACACTCACCCAAACAAGCAGTGACAACGGTGGAAAGCCATTTCCACAAGTGTTGCAAGAAAAAGGAATCGTTCCGGGAGTCAAGCCACATCTCAAAGTCTACACTCTCCCTGGTACTGGCGGCGACACGGTAATGCAGGGGCTGGACAGTCTCGCAGTCCGATGCAAGCAATACTACAAGGAAGGAGCCAGATTTTGCAAATGGCGCTCCCCGTTGACCATTGACAAACAACGGGGACGTCCCACCACACTGGCAATTCAAGCCAACATGCGAGATCTCGCCAGATACGCATTGATTTGTCAAAGTGAAGGATTGGTGCCAATTGTAGAACCGGATGTGTCCCTGACTGGGTCGCACACATTACAGGAAGCGGTGGACGTGAATATCCGAGTCCAATCCGAGCTCTTCAAGGCCATGATCCACCACGGAGTCTTCATGGCAGGGACCATTCTGAAGAGCAACATTGTCAATCCTGGGAGAGACTGTCCCCAGAGCTACAGCGTGGAAGAGATTGCAAAAGCAAATGTCTTTGTGTTTGAACAATGCTTTCCAGTGGCCATGCCGGGGGGCAATTACCTGTCGGGAGGACAAACGTTGAAAGAAGCCACAGCTCGTCTCAGTGCCATCAACAAGGCAAACAAAAAGGGGCCGTGGAACCTGAGTTTTAGTTTTAGTCAGGCATTGCAATTGCCACTACTCGAACTTTGCCGGGGCAAGAGCGGTGTTTTGCAATTAGAAGCCATGGGCGAACTCTACATCCAAGAGCTCAAGATTGCTAGCCTTGCCGCCAAAGGGCAGCATGAGTGGGGAAAGGGCGAAGGTGACCACGTTGGGTCTGATAAACGAGATGCAAAGAGACAAAAAACATCCTAGCTAGGCTAGCTTTCCATTTACATAGCTCCACTGCATGTTTTCAACTACTGCTTTCTAGAAATGCTACATTTCTTCTGCATTTCTCTTCCACATAGTTCGTGGTGTACATGCTCATTCATTACGATGAGTGGCGATCTGCAATCTGTTGCGACCAAGCATAATCCCGGTAGGACTAGCACCAGCTTTTCCCTTCGAGCTTGTCACCATGGAACAATGCAAACGCAAAAGATGAAGCTTTTCAGGCTTCAAAGTAGCATTTTTGGTTGTTTGTGGAAGGATTGCACGCTCCACCCGTACAACCGGACCTTCCGTCATTGTGGAGACGGACCAGAACAGCAATAGAAATCTCTGAAGCATGTTTCGGGCTTGTCGTCAAGCTGCGTTGCTGGAAAATGGGCTCTCGCTCTCTCTTCACAGCCAACATTTCCTAATCGCAGATTCGATTCGATTGGCAATATGGCAATATGCCCGAAACCCGGCAGTGCATTGGTCTCACAGTTTGGGACCAACTTTCGAACAGACAACACCTCCCAGCTGGTGGGAATACTGCGACACCAGGTGTCGGGTGGTCCATCTTTTGACTTCACACAACCAACCGACGATGACAGGACTTTGATATGAAAAAAAAACTTCATCCATCGGACAGAGCGATGAAGACCTGTCCAAAATGTGTTGATTGTCGGCCCCGACGCGTTTCCACAAAAGACGAAATTTCCGAAGCTGAAGCCAGTAGATGTACCATCGATAAGGCTGTCCACGCAGCATCCGTTGTATGAGTAGGCAGCCGAATATTGTCCACCCACCCCGAAGTCTGGGGTTAAATGGCCGGTCAAAATATTTTCTTGCTATCCAAGGCCGGGCTGATAGCCACGCTCCGGAATCTCTGTGGAGCTGATGCCTTGATGCTCAGCGATTGGTTATACACTTTTTTTGCCAATCATGAGTGTCTCGAGGTGTGATTTCTCTTTTATTTTCAGCAATCGATCATCTTAGTGTCGGAATTAGAGGTGATCGAGCGGAGTCTGACTCATTGGAAGCCGAAGCCGATGCCAATCCTGAGGAGAAGATTGCGGTCTGGAATTTTTTTTTAAAGACCTTTGTCTTGCCACAGATGTACCTGATAGATCCAATTTGCGGGCAGGAGAACAAAACATGCAGGAGAGACTTCCAATCCTCACTTGTCCAAAGGTCCTTGACTGGCGTGAACAAACTTGCAAAGGATGGCTATGCCAAATCTAGTAGAATTTGTGGCCAGGAGAACAAAAAATGCTGAGAGGTTTCCAATCCTCGCTCGTGTGTGGGCCAGCATGCTTCCTTGGCCTCACAAATGCTGAGATGTCCGATACCCACTGAATTCTTGACTGGCGTGAACAACCCTGCAAAGAATGGTTACGCCACTTCAAATGCTTAGGATTAAAATACTCTTCAAGGCATGCTGCTCGAAACGGAAGATCGTTGTCGAGAGCAATGGCATTTGGTCGGTACATGGCTGTTGGTGGTCGCTCAGGCCGGCAGTCGTCCTGGACGGAAAGAAAAGGGAAAGTCCTAAGCTTGACCTCTAGAGGCCTTGCTGGTGTGACCAGAATTGCAGCCAAGAGAGGCTGCCCCCCTTTTCTGACAACAGGATTGTTGTTGAAGTCGTGATCCCTTCAATAGCCCTGCATATCTCATCGCACAACCATGCGCTGCAGACATTAAACTCCATCGTGGTGAAGGCATGGGTCCTACCGGTAGGCGCCGGGTAATGGGATGGTGATCAAGATGAAGGAGGCGCATGGCCGCGTGGAAGGAATGCTTCGCTTGTTCGATGTCCCTGAGAAACAGAATTCTCAAAGATCGCGGAGTGACCGACCCATCATTGTGTCCTGGAGTGACCGACCCGTCATTGTTGATATGATTGCCTCCAGTGTGTAAACGCCACCCCCTTTCGGGGAAATTTAATCTAGACGCTGTACTCTACAGAATGCAACAGTTTTTCTTTTCACAAACTTCCACCCTTAATTTAACAACTAGCGAATGTATGCTTAGTTTCCTTCGGCCTGACGTTGCTTCAAGTATTCCTCGAAACTGGGTGCCTCAGAGATACTCTTGCGGGGATCCTCATCAACGAAGGCATCAGGGTCACGGGTATCAGCCATACCTCCAGCACCGATCTTTGGTTCTTCGTTGAAGAGAGCGGTGGCGCGGGGAGCGACAGGGGCAGGGGCGAATGCCGAAGCACTGGCAACAAGGGCGGCAAGGACGATCAATTTGGACTGAAGAAGAAGTAGAAGAGAGGAACCAGATAGGAGTGTTAGTTTACAATGCATGCTACACATCATGACCAACAGCACAAGACAACAACAGAATCCGACTAACCTGCATGGTGGCTGATTTATTCTTTGCAATTCGGTAATTGTTTAGATTGTGAGCCTTACCGGTGGTGCCTTTGGTCTCTGAACAGGAGATCCATCGTGCGTACGTCGCACAAGAGAACACACCGACATCAGCCGAGCCACGATGTCAACAACAACTCCCGAGGCAGTTCTACTCGATTAGCAGAACAAGTAGCGCCCGAGATCTTTGCTGACATACTACAGTCTGTAGAAAGTTGTTACTTTTTTAACCCGTTGTGGCAGTGAACTGACTTCAGAACTCTGGGCTATCATGACGAGCTTGTTGGGCCACATCACACATCACATGCTGAAGAGACTGACTATTGGGTTTTGTTTTGATGGATCTTTCGCATTTACCGCTGACGTACGGTAGTATCATATGTGTTTTCTCGGAACGTACGTATGTCCATACGTCCCCCTCACCCTAAATCAATTCTGATCAAAACGTCCGCAGGTGACGAGTCGAGTGACGAGTCGAGCAGTCGAGTGGATGCAATGGAGTGGAGTCGAGTCGAGTCACGCCATGAGTAACGAGTGACTAGTCTTTGAAACTAACTTACGACTGTACTGTACTCTGCACTAGTACTCTGTCGGAGCTCTTGCTTGCTGGTCTCACACCCATGTCTTGATGTCTTGATGCCCGGCACGTTGGACGAACAATGTGTGATGATGGGCTCGTAAAACAGGAAGAGGGAAGTCATGGGCGGTTTTCACAGGAGCAACCAAGCAATGGTACCGGTTCAGTAAGATGCTGGCTCCGAAACTCTTGATTTTGCTCTTGATGTTGCATGTCTAGTCAACGACGGGAGGAAACTTCCAAGAATGAGAAAACTACATGTAAGATCTAATGGCTAGCTAGTAAGGGACGATTCTTTGTGAAGAAACAGAAATACTAAATAGATACCTTAAGGAGCGAGTGGGGCTAAGCTAGGCAGAGCAGTGGCTGCGGTGGTGGGCGTACTGGGAGCGGGAGCAGGGCAAGGGGGGGGGGGGCAGGGGAAGGGATGTGCATGGAGGAAAGCGAGGAAGTACAGGGGAAGTCAAGAGGGGGGAAGGGGGCAAGATTAGCGGAAGAGTGCAAGTGCACCATCGGCATCCCAGAGAGAATGGCGGTAGCTCATTGTGCCAGCAGGGACACGAGAGCCACGCATGCAGAGGTGGTGGGCCCGAAGAATAGCTAGGCTGAGCTGAGCATTAACATAGCCATGCACCACTGTTGTGAAGAACGATTACATCATGGACGTTTTGAAGTGGGTTGCATCCCAATGTGGTGGAACCCGGTACGGGAGTTGTGCATGGAATCATCACGCTGACTCGACTCCTGACGACGACTGTACCCATATATCCGCGACGTCTAGCGGTAACTTTACCGCAACAGCAAGATTGAGAAGAAGGATATATTCAGCATTTCCGTTTCCGGCGGTGGGTCGAATCCATCTCGAATCAATGCGCAGGATGTGGTGATTGATTTCGGAGAAAATACGTTCCAAGCACTGCCGCCTTGACAGCATCTCCGTTGGCGGGCGTCAATGCCTCCTTTTCCTACTTTGAACAATCTACGAACCTTACATCTTTGTTTCCATGGGATTTCTTCGAACCATGGGACGTCAGCTTTAAAACCATCGATTATCCAGCCCCTGTGATTGTCGAGCACGTCTCTAAACGACAAGCTCTCATCAGAACAGGCATACTGCGGTTCGATGCAGAGGACCAGGTCTTCGGAGGCAGGATCTACGAGCCCACGTCATTTCATTTCGTGGCTGTTGGTCCGTCGGGTACTAGCAGGAGCCGAGTAATCTAGTTGCAACGTGCAACCGCACCTTCAAACTTGTTCGAGTACCAGTTTGGCTCCTATAGTTGTACTACTTCTCCATTTGCTGATAAATAGGTAGACCGTCGTCCTGACCAGGCACCGTAAGCCACACACTACTTCTTCTATTTTTTACCTACCAACACACAAACAAGGGCTCAGTTGCCTGTACCGGTACACCCCCAAATCCTTCACCATTCACTGCCTTCAAAATTGATTCGACTAAGCAGCAGCATTCTTTGCTCCCTCTTCAAAGATTGGACGCAAGGGCGCAATCACTGACACGGCCTCAGAGATCAAGTCATTGTCGACTCCAAAATGGCTCATTGACTTCACCAGGTCTTCTACAAACACATCAAAGTGGCTCGCATTTAGTCCGTTGGCAAACATGGTTTGGTGGTTCGCCTTGATAGTCGCTTCGATTCCATTTGGAAGCTTGGTGAATGCCATGGATAGGAATCGTTTCTGATGCATGTTCAGGGCACGCTGATCAACGCCCTCGAAGAAAAACATGAGCTTCTCGTTAGTCACAATCCTCTCGATAAAGTTGTCGACGATTTTATGCAAGACATCCCGTCCTCCCAATCGAATCATAAGGCTCGGCTTCGGAGGAGCATCTTCAGCAGACTCGCTGCTTCTACTGTCGTTCCTTCGAGGGCTACTTTCTCTCACGGGGCTCTTGCTGCGTCGCTGGGGGCTGAGGCTGCGGAGGACCTTTTTCAATACCATCGTTCACAAGTTAGTTGGAATGTAGCGGAATGATCACTATGGTAGCTAGCTAGTCAACGAATATGCGATCGTCCAGAAGTTTGTGTGCTCTTTCAGCTGCTCTTTCGAAGATTGTTTCCTGCAGGGATCCGGAAGGATCTACCGGTGGCCGTTGGTACGGGTGGTACGGGTACCAGTTACAGTACATGTACGACGTACCGGTAGCTTGGGTGGTCACTTGGTGGTCAAACAATGTTCCGTGATGGGGTATGGGGTCATCGAAAGATCCAAAGCGGCACAAAAAAGGTTGTGTGGGTATGCTTTCAAATGACTCATTAGGGTTAAAGCTGTACTGGTACCGGTTGCTCAAAACCGGTACTCCAGTACGGTCGTAGCCGCTGTAAGCCCTTTTACCTCGATTATTTGCTTCGAACCGAACTCGATCGCGAAGGTTCGGATCGGCTCTTCCGATCGCACCTCCAAGTTGGGGCTTCACCTCGGACGAGGCTACCGGTACCGCTACGGCATCCAAACCTTGACGTTGACGCCTCTCCAAGATTTTAGGATGCATGGTTGTTTCGTACCGGTACCGTATGTCAACATTGCTGATAGTTCCTTTTAGTTTATGGGTATGATGGCTAAACAGCTGGTGTAAAGTTTTCTGCATTTGCTCGACCTTTGGCGTTCTTCATGGGGTACGGCAGGACTGGTCTCTCATTCAATTCAAGAGTTGGATGTGATGGCTTGGCTCCGCATATTCAAAATTGTTGGAACTCTTCCATTCCAAGATGCTTCTTTGGCTGCCTTTTCAAAGACCTTCCGCAGGGGGGCAATGATGGTGGTAGCCTCGTTGATAACGGCATCATTGAATCCACGGTCCCTAAGAGCACCAACCAAGTGTTCACCAACCATAATATCAAAGTGAGATTCATTCAATCCTTTCACAAACAAATGCTGATGTCTCTTCTTGATGACTAGCTCGAGGTGTGCAGTCTCTGGGACTTTGGTAAATGCCATTGCAAAGAAGCGCTTCTGATGCTCTGATAGAATCCTGTAGTCGACGCCTTCATAAAACGGTATTAGGCGTGGATCTGTTCCTGATCGATTCACAAAGTCATTCACAATGGAATTCAGCATGGGCATGCCACCCAAGCGATCCAGGAGGTAGCCGTCCTCCTGTTGCTGATGTTGCTGTTGCTGCGATCGGGAGAAAGGACCGGGACTCTTACTTCGTGTTCGTTTGGGGCTGCTGCCGCCACTAGTATTTCGAAAGGTCGTCAGGAAACCCATGGTGTTCGTGTTGTGTTGTGGTCTGATTGGTTTTGTTTGCTTGTTTGTTTTTATGGGAACCTCATTCACCAAGAGAGAAGAGAGCGACGAGTTGTTGGATAATGCACGGGATGGCAAGATCAATTTTTTCGAGCCTTCGAATTTGTGACCAAGCCTTTGGCAGGTTTCGTTTGGACGATTGAAGAGGATTGCGTTGTTGCGTTGCTTACCTACAAGGTCTCTAAGTACAAACTTCCCATTTACTGACACTTTCCGTAAGAAGACCTATGGTGTTTCTTTTCTCTTTCGTCGCTGGCTTGACGCTGTTTATTGCCTTCTTTCCTTGTTAAGGTCACAAGTAGTCATCGCCAGTCTTGATGTGACTGACAAACCACAGGAAAGAGCTCTGCTTTGGGCTGCGCTTTGCAGCCTGCTTGTTGACCCTCCATCCAGCAACCAACTGCCGCCGTTGGCCGTTGGCTCCCCATGAACCTCATGGATGCTTTGACCCTAACCCACCTCTAATAGCTACCAGCCATGCAAGGAGCTACCGGAGCAACCTCGACGCGACTCTGGCCGGCTCCAGACAGCACCTAAGACGATCAAGTTTATTCCGCAAGTTAAAGTGGGAGAGCAATCCACGATATCAGCGCATGGCCTGAACCGATACTACCAAACCTTATTGGAGAAGCCAGAACCTCATTATTCTCACAACCCACAACAGAATTATTGAAGTCTCTAGAGTTACTATGGTGATCCGCACTCCATCCTTAGTCGGCTGGCTGCTTTTTCTCAGCTGGTTGAACTTGTCTTTTGCTCAGCCCATCAGCAGCAATAAGAGTCCCTCTGGTCTTTCTTTCAAGCTTTACGACAATGCTGCTCTGGCATTTAGTCCTGCAGTGAGTGGGATCACTCAAACAGCCAATCTTTCCCTGGCTGCTCATTCCTACTCAACTGAAACTGGCTGCTTTTTATCAGGAGAGCTCTCTGGCACTGCCTTGTTTGGTGGTAGCACTGCTGCTGCAACAACAACAACTGCAGTGTACAAGTTTAGCTGTGACTTTACACACACATCCTCTGGCTTTGTCTGGATAGATGGACACTTGGTGTGCTCTGATGGAAACTCCTTTCGAGCTACAGATACAGATAATCCTCTCCCCATTGATACCAGTAAACCCCAGCCCTTTCGAGCTAGAATCACCACCAATGACACTGCTTGCCAGCACATTGCTTCCTTTCAACTCACTTGGAAAGAGCTTGCAAAAACACCAGCATCAGACACAGAAGAACAACCAGAAGAATATCAAGCATCCAAAGAAATCGACTCGAACGAACCATTCGAAAAATCTTCTTCCAAAGTCACATTTTCTCCTCACTTGCCACCGGCAGAAGCCCAACGAGATGAGTTTCAAAAAACACTGGGATACGGATGGGGCGCTTGGCTACGACATAATATGGTCAGTATTGTCAAGTTGCCAGAAGGAATCATTGTTACGCCCAAACTATGTCAGATATCGTCCAATACCTGTCTCGAATTTGCCATTCCCGATGACGACAATATTCGAGTTGGATTGCACACAATGGATCGATCCTACGTGTCCTATCGCATGGCATTCCAAACTGCCAATGTCACGGTCGAATATTCCGTTTCATCATCCGACAATAGTCAACTGTACGTGCTCGTCACCTCGCAAGAGTTTCCACAAAACGATCCCTTTGATTACGAAATACAAATTCATGGACGATTTGGATGGTATCGACCTGGAACTGTGACCAAAACCAAGGATACTACGCAAAACACGCCACAATTGACGTTTGAAACTCCCGGGTTCGATACCGTCAATGTGACCTTGACCACGGATGATTGGGCAACAATAAGAAATAATCACCAACATAGCAATCAACCGCTCGATGACAACGATGACGATCATGACAATGCACCCTACCTGCGGGTCCTCATAACGCAACCATACCAACCCATTGCCTTTGGTTCCAATATCATGGACGCCACACCAACAATTAAAGACGTGCAAACCAAAATCAAAGCCGCCAAAGATGCAGCTCAAGCCGCATTACGTAAAAGGTTTGGAGACGACAAATATGCCGTGGCAGAAGCTGTGCTCTCAACCTCCATGTGGTCAACTATTTACAATCCGGTTGAGAACAATGGACTACTCATGCCCATCTCGAGGACGGAGTTTTGGGATTTCCGAGGACAATCGGGGGCTGCCACCACGGACTGGACATATATCATCTTTGGTGCGTTTGCTTGTTTCCATGCATGCATGATCGAACCGTTGCTCGCTGCATACTTGTCGTCGTCTCATTTCAATGTTTTGTATATATCTCATACTGTATAGATTGGGACACCTTGTTTGCTTCCTTACTCGCCGGTTTGGGAAGCAAAGGAATTGCTTACTCGAATCTATTCCAAGTTGTCAAATCCAAAGCGGCCGCTGGATTCATACCCAATATTGCTGCTGGAGGGTTCAAATCGCAGGATCGGACAGAGCCCATGATTGGAGCCAAAGTTACACTGGAATTGTACCGCAAATACAAGGACAAATGGCCTGTAGAAGTAGTTTTTGACGACCTGCTCGACTGGAACAACTGGTCACTAGCCAAGCGGAGTCTGCCGCCATTGGGACTGATTGCTCTGGGAAGTCACGAGGAATCATTTCAGCCAACAATTCACAATCGCGGTCAGTCCGCAGTGAGTACTAGCCAACGTCAACTTGGGACCTTATTAAAGTCCAACAATACTCATACGAAACGAAATGGAGCAAAGACGAGTCTGGGGGATGACGGTATGGCTAGTGCAAGGGACGAATCCGGAATGGGTACGTCGCTCGCAAATGCACGAACCAATGTACGAGGAGTTTCCCAGCTCGACTACAAGTACTCACACCCATTTTTCGATTCCCTGTGTCGTTGCCTGTATGTATGCATGTATCCATTCAGACAACTCCCCGATGTACGACGGAGATTTCTGGAATGACACTCTACATGTCATGAATCTCTATGATGTAGGAATGTCGTCGCTGTTTGCACAAGAAGCCTACAGTCTGGCAGAACTCGCAGAGGCGATTGGCAAGGACCCCAAGCTCGTCCAAATGCTACGTAAAAGAGGCGACACGATTCGAGACAAGATACAAACCGAACTTTGGGACGAGTCGCAACAGGCCTTTGTCAACCGCTTTACCAATGGGACATTTTATCGTCGGGTCAGTCCCACTAGCTTTTACCCCATGATGGCTGGGGCGGCTACCCAAGAGCAGGTAGAGAGCATGGTGGGTGCTTGGCTCTTGAACTCCTCCCGGTTTTGCATTGCCCCAAATGGTGATTTTGATGGAAACGACCCGAAAGGGTGCTACTGGGGACTGCCGAGTATCAGTGCCGATGATCCCGCGTTTATGGCAGGAGACAATTAGTACGTTCATTGTCTGTCTATTGATCTATCCATGATGTTCCTTCCTTACCCCTTCTGCATGCTCCTTCGTTCCTGTACCATACAGTTGGAGGGGTTATGTTTGGGGACCTCTTGTGCAGCTGGTTCACTGGAGCCTGCAGTATCCAGAAAGGCACTTGGCTCACCTCGATGTCAAAGATGGCAACGAGAAGAGGACAGCGAAAGGCAGCATGGAAGAGCCCAACTGGGATTTAGCCCGCAAGGCATTGTGCAAGCAAATGGAAGCCATGATGATGAACCAGTGGAACCGACACCGTGACATTTGTGAGAACTTTCACCCATCATTGGAGGGTGATGGTGCCAAAGACTGTACAGGGACCAAGTTCTATCACTGGGGAGCTTTGGCAGGATTGGTTGGTCTGGTGGAAGATGGTTATTGGTAGTAAGGAGACAGAGAATTCTAGCTAGCTATAGAGATCACATCACAGGGCCTGGTAGTGTTCAAGTGTTTGAAGAGCAACTGCAAGAAGTGCATGATACATATACTGACTTCTAAAGGACCAAGGCTTTGTGAGGTGCCACCGACAGTGCCATTGCACCGTTTCTCCGTCAATGGTTACCAGTTCTCCCGCCCTACTGCTTTGCATGTATTCCGACTTTTGTCCTGGGTTGACTTATGTTTTATTTTTTTGGACCATGAACCAAACAGTATCCATCATTCAAGAGGGCCATCATTCAAGAGGGCCCTGTAGGGGACCAATATCCAACATTGGGGGTCCAAAGGTCTCCAGTGCAATATCTGGCTAAGTTGCTACTATAGCCACCCAGGCACTTCATCTCATCTATCCTCACTGAATTGTCTTGGATCGCTGGCACAGGCAATATTCGAGGACTCGTGATTTCACAAGCGTAGCAGCAGGAAGCCCTCAAGACCCGAAACCGAATGATGAAGCGAATCCCAAGATGAAAAGCATGCATGCTGCTTTTGCCTTCGCTGCTGAGGAGGCACACCCTATTGCAGAACACAACAGAATGAGAAGCGAAGGAGCGAACCTGATTGTGCTGCTGTTGGTACGGAATAATTGAACTCTGCAATCTTCAGTGGACTTCAGGTGCTGAGCACAGCACAGATTGTCATCATCCGATCTAGCTAGATGCTCGATCCCCACAACATTCTCCAAGGATCGCAGCTTCTGGCCCTATCGTTACACCATGCATTCGTTGCATCTGTCTTCTGCCCCGCGCTGGATCCTTGCCATTTTCAGTGCACTTCCGCTTTCTGAGTTTTCCCTGCTAGCTAGCTACCTGCTGAAGTCCCTGTCTGACGCCGCCTCGAGCTCTTCGTCGATCATCGTCAACGACGCGTTAAAGCGACTTTCTCCTGCAGAGTCGTCTCTCGCCGGTCCACCCCGACGTCGGGTTTGGCCACTGATTCTGCTGTGCAGCTCGCTCAATTCAGAGAGACGGGGATCCCGATCAAATGGAGCCGACGGTATACTTCCACGGAGCTCCATCAGATGCGTAGAGCCGGCCATCGACAGGTCCTCCATCAGAGCAGGTTTGCCATCTCTGTCCCAAGTACCAGCCATCCAAGTGTCTTGCATCCCTAAAACCTCAATCCTAGCCCCTCGCTGATCCCGCTTGTAGACTCGTTTCATCTGTACCGTTTTCTCACCCCTGTTTTGACACTTCAAACAAGTTTGCCAGAATGTTGCCGCAAGACCCAAGAAGGCAAAACCAAAGCTGACCACCCATATTCCTATAATAGCGTGAAGTAGACGTGTTGGATTATGGCATTCTTTGGCACGGAGTGCAACACCAGGAGAGCTCTTGCGTACCTGACAACTGGGAAATGGTGAGACCCACTGCATTATCGTCCCCTCCTGGCATGGTACATCGACTGTTCGGTTTGTTTGCCAGCAGGCCAGCGTCATAGACACCATCATTTTGAAGTTTCAAGAAAAAAGAGATCAGCTGAGGCGACACGTTTTCGAAAACTGGCATGCCTGTTTGAACCATTTGCACTGGTTTCCCTACAATCGTTTTGTTGCAGTGCAATGCCTTTGACGCAAACACGTCCAGATCCTCTTCGGGTGCAATAGCTGCATGGCAATACTTCGGGTCTCGGTTAGCCCTCAAAGGATCCAAGAAATCAAATACCCTTGCCCTGCTTTGGCAGGCTGAACAGGTGAACCCAGGCTCCCCGTCTCCGCCAATTTCCGGGGGATCCACCACAAACCTGTTCCGATCCAGCGTTGGAAACACATTCAACACGGATTCCATATTCTTTCGCTCGCTGCAAAACCTGTAGCCCGCAGCGATGGCATCATCTAGATTGCTCACAACAACATTCTCCACATTGTGCGAAAGAATGGCAGCGAGATTGGCTGTGTACACCGCGACGATTGTCAATATAAAGAATGCAATTCCCAACAAATTGAGCATGGCACCTAACGTCGAGACAGCAGGATCATATGTTTGTTGCATGACCGCCAAGAAGGCAACATAGATGGATTTGATGATACTCATGTAGATTGGAATTGGGATCTTTTTGATCATGGATTCCCCCGTTTTGTCATTTGTCATCAAGACCACTTCCTCGGTTGGATAAGAGGAAGAGGCGCCCCTGCCACGTTCGTGCACCACCATGAGAATCCCAAGGATTGGAATGACGAAGGCGCATATAAAGAGCCATGTGTGTGGTCTGTTGGTTTTGTCGTTTGGACAGGAAACAATCAAGTGTGTGAGTGTGAGAGTAGGGGTACAAGAAACAAGCAATTTGAACATACGCAAACTACCAAATAGGGTACCAGTATGTTCTTACGTGAATGGACTAAAGATGGTCGCAATGGATCTAAAAAAGTAGTTCAGATCTCTTCCATTGTCTGCATCACGGTTCACAATCAGGTAGATTCCCACGCTCCCCAGTGTCAACCAGTCTGTACTTGCTGCTCTTCGCTCTGTAATGGTATACTGTGCGACGCACATGTCCAGGTAGCCGAGCGACGCTGCATAAACACAAAAATCAAAGTTCGACTCGGACTCAAAGTACTCTACTGAATGCACCCACAAGGTCGGTGGTGGCGGTGTGATTTCCATCTGAAACCGCCCAATTCTGGCCGCTTGAATGACAAAATCCACTACCGGCCCAGACCAGTTGTCGATCGGTCCTTGGTAGTGTTGCTTGTCCTTGTTGTAAGCTCCCAACCAACCCCCACTGTTGGAATTGAAGCCAACTTTGAATATCTGTCCCTCCAATGCTTTGAATCTTTGCACATGGGTAAAAATATCCATGTGGCCACATGTGGCGTAGGAATAGTGCCGATTGCTGTGGGCAAAGGCGCTGCTTCGACGACTGGCCAGTGTGCAATTGAGAGGATCCACAAAGCACCAGCTTCGACTACACCAGCTCATATCACAACCAAATGGCGAAGGAACCATGTGCTTGGCTCTGTCACAGTAGTTGCTCTCTTCCAAGCAAAGCGGTGTCTTGACATCGTGGGCACCGCATCCAACACCATACGTAGGCGAGTCGAACAATTTGCCCAAGTGATTTTCCAGGTTGGGATTGGCAAGATCTCGATCGTCAACAGTGAGGGGAAGGGCAGGCAGGCAAGGACACAGCGGGCTGCCTTCCCGAAAGCCCACGGGGGGTATTTCCTTGGACAGCTCTTCTTCTTCCACTTGAGCCACAACGGCAACAAGGAGAAAGAACAGCAGAAAGTTGGTAGCGAGAAAAACGTTCCTGCATCCCAGCGGCGGATACCCCTTTTCGCTCCGCCATCTTTGCTTCATTCCTACCCTATCTTGCCTCGTCTGTCGGGTGATGCTTTGGCGACAGTTGAGGCGCGATGGATGTGGATGAAGCTGTTTTGGATGCCTTCTCAAAGAAGAATAAGAAGTGCCTGCCAGAATGCCCGCTTTTCGTACGAGATTATGGGGGGGTTAGGCAGCAGCGCGGGGGAGGGAAAAAGAAAAAGGAGAGGGAGAGGGTTATCCGTTGGATTCCCAATTCCGAATTTGAGAGTCGGCAGGGCATCGTGCGACACTGGTAGGGGATACCAAAGATAGGGGGATATGGCAATGACTATGGTCATCGCCCCTGACACCTAAGTCTCATGTGTCTGAAGAACAGTGTAAGTGTCAGCAAATGCATCACAACGGCTCGCGAACTATTTGTCTCACACTGTCTCTCAATTCAAATGGATGCACGGATATAACGGATCCCCATCCTTCGCTCGAACAAACCCCCATAAATTCCTCCATAAATTCAAATCGCAGTCGCTGGTAGTGTTGTTGTTGTTGTTTGTTGTTTGTTGTTGTTGTTGTTTTGTGTGTTGTTGTTGTGTTGTTGTTGTTGTTGTTGTTGTTGTGTTGTTGTGTTGTTGTGTGTTGTTGTTGTTGTTGTTGTTGTTGTTGTTGTTGTTGTTGTTGTTGTTGTTGTTGTTTGTTGTTGTTGTTGTTTTGTTGTTGTGTTGTTGTTGTTGTTGTTTTGTTGTTGTTGTTGTTGTTGTGTTTGTGTGTTGTTGTGTTGTGTTGTTGTTGTTGTTGTTGTGTTTTTGTTGTGTTGTTGTTGTTGTTGTTGTTTGGGACATGGCATGCTATAATCGTTCTATCCTTCCACTAACGTCGTCCTTCTATCCTTCCACACCGACGTCCTCTCTAAGCCCTCCTCTACAACCGACCTCATCCTGCTACAGCCACCGCTCCTTCCTCTACCGATACCACTACCGACCGACTACCACTATGCTCCGCTATATTGTCTTGAAGTCAGCGCTTACATGGGTAGGGGCAAGGACTCTCTGACAACAACAACTATACTTCTCTACGACGCTTCTTCCTCTACGGTCTTCCTCTACCGATACCACTACCGACCGACTAACACAAACAACAACTGGACAATGAGGATCGCAATTACACCGTTCTTCTCACAGTGGCTGCTAAGTGTCAAGGAATACCCATTCAATGAGCTGAGGGCACAAGAATGGATTCACCTGCAAGTATGTCATTTGTGGGTACAACAGTGAGGAGAGGAAACTTCTGTTTGCCACAACAGCCATGGAAGTGACTTCATTCGAGGAGATGATGTTGCAAGGAGCATGCAAGCTCTTCCTCCTGACATGACAATAATAATGGATTACATGTTTGAGTCCGGGGGTCTTCAGAAGAGTGTCGGTCCAAAATGGTACAAGCATGTTCTCTCCACCCTTTATGAAATGTTGGGGACCAGCCTGTGAGAGGAAGGACATCTTCATTGAGTGCATCTATTGGTTGGTGGAGGGAGAGGCTTATGGAGGCTGAGAGCATGTATGACTTCTACTCGAATGAAGGACAAGAGATTGTGCAAGCTTGGAATGAGTATCTTATCCATTGGTATGACTACAACAACAAAACTTTCTTTGGTAGCTTTGTTTCCATGAGTGAGAGATTTGTTCAAGATTGCTTTGAAGACTTTGACACTCTAGGAGTATGGAGACAGCCTAACAACCAACCAGGACCTTGAATGTAGTTAATGGCTACATTAGAAACGAATTTGTCACATCTAATACTTCTATCTTATTTTATGCAGAGTATCCAGTCAATCTAGATTGGCAATGGGCATCATGAGGTGGTCTTCCTCTCCTGTTGGTCAACCACTGGCAGTATCTCTGACAGCAGCCATTCGGTGGAGGAGGTGGCTGGAAAGGATATGGCAGTATGGGTTGGAATTGCGCATTTGCATGGCAAGTTGCATCATTTGAATTTGTTGTTGTTGCTGGTATAGAATCAAATTACCAACATAAACATTTCTTGTTTGTGGCACTGCAGGTGGTGGAGGTGGTGGTGGCGGCGGTGGTGGTGGTGGCGGCGGTGGAACCATTGCTGTTGCAGTCGGTGAACGATTGCTGGTGGACTTGTGCCTCGATGCTGGTGGACTCGGTGGTGCTCAGTGCAAGCCGCACAAAGAAAACAATCATTTGGAGCATACTTCTGCCCTGTGGTTTGAATGCACAATGAACTCTTGAAAGAACCTCTCTCCATTATCCTGTGGCAGTGGTCTGCAGTAGGAAATGGTTCATGGACCACAGCCAGTGCTAGCTCATTGAGGTAAGCCAACTCTGAATGATTCCAGTAAGTACAACCTTTCCCATCCGGCTGGAATTGACCTCCTCTCTGCCAGACTGATTCTTGACAGGAAGGCTCTCTTGTGTCTAATCTTGAGGTTGTATCTAGCAGTCCAGCAAGTTGAGTGCATCAGCAAGGCTTCTTCTCATTCCACCATTGCCAAAATGGGCAAACTTGTCATGGAACGCTCTAACTTGGATTCTCCTCTCCTTGATAGGTACTCTGGGAGGCTGTGCTTGGAATTGGGTGATGGTAGGATGTGTCATACATGTCTTCCAGTGCAAGGGGATCAGCCAAGTGAGCCGCTTTGTCAACACAGTTCTCTACTGCTGGCTTGGTATCAGAAGTGAAAAAGGTGCACTACGCTAAAAGCTAGTGTAAAGATCTTTCGAGTGTTTTGAGTTTGAGAGAATGAAAGTTATGAGAGAGATTAGAAAGCTATGAAAACTAATCAACGAGAGAGATCATCATCAAAGGATCTAGATCTGGCTCCGCGGGAGACTATAAAGTTGATAGAGTAGGTTGTGGTAGTAATCCTACGTCTCTCCACGATCCTAAAACGGAACGCTGGGAAGGTTTGTCTAGCCTGGATCTAGTAGCTGGAAGTACTCCACGCTGGCTAAATATCTAGAGCGATGTTTCATCATCAACCTAGTGTGACTAGCGCGGTCATTGAGAACCCTGTCTCAAATGACTATTCACGAGAGACTCCGTCATGAGTCGAACTCAAACCCTATCTAGGATCGAGTCGCGAATAAGGTAAGAGCCGTGTATTGCATTCGCCCCCTGACAAGGGTCACAGAAGGCGCGACAGCAGTCGGACAAGGAGAACATATGATTTAAAGTGCGGGGCACTCTCATGAGTTTGGATGTAGACATTGCGTCGCACGATGGCAATCCTACAAGGGATCAGGCCTTGTATGGGTGTATATACCTTATGTTCCAAGTCTGGTAGACTGTGCCGCCGTTGGCGGTAGCATGTTGGAGCCGTACAGTGCCATTGTCATTGACTCGGTCTATAGTGTAAGGACCTTTGTACTTGGCTGACCGTACTTGCGTGATGATACTGTTGAATCATCACGTATCGTTGACTTTTATTGATGAGGGACACGCGTTGCGTTTTCCCTATCGTTGTTTTGTTGGATTAGTCGTTGGCGACGTTCCTTAATGTACTTCCAGTTGGCTTCGAACCGGACGTTGTGAATCGCGTCACGATTGAACACGAGCTGTGCGGGCGTTGCACGCAAGGTGTATGATCGTGGCATTCATGCAAAGCGAACCGCCGTGAGGACTCCATCCCAGATCCATTCACGAGGTCTCTTGGCACTTGATGTTTTGAACAGCGATCAAGTTGCGTAGGTTTGATGAGCACGCTCGACCATAGAGTTGGCTTGAGGGTTACGCGTGTGATGAACTTGCGACGAGTCCATATTCATCCCGAGTGTCTTTTCGACCTCTGCGCGGAAATCGCGTCCTCTATCCATGATAACCTCGCAGGCCATGGATACGGAGTAAGCCACGTTTGTTCTAGACGATGGCTACTTCGTTTGCTTGCCTTGGAGCAGATCTCTGCAATCTCGAACCATCCGGTTACGGATCAATCATTGTCAAGCATGAAGTGTGCAGGAATTCTTTTTCTTGGGATCCCCGACGTTGTAAGGGCCATCAGGTCAATACATAGTTTTCCAAGGGATCTCCTCGCAAGTCTTTGGAGGCATCAATCCCGCTTACGCGTCTTGGGTTTGTTCATCTGGCAGCTTTGGCAACGCTGACATACGGTCTGCACAGTCCTGCGCAGACCCTTCCAGGTGTAGTGTTGGCTGATGGTTAGCTCCTGCGAGTCTCGCCAGGATGCATCAGCAACCATGGTACCATTCAACTAGCTTTTTCTGCATAGTTTTAGGTACGACGATTTTCTCGTCCTTAACTACTAAGTCGTAGGACTTATCCCCTCTGGGGAAAGATTGCTTCTTGTAGTCGTTTGGCTTGTCTCTGAGGAGCTTCTTGATATCGTTGTCGTCTTTCTGACGATGTTCGATCTCAGGGAACGGAGAGGGAATTCGCTAGGGAAGTCCTCTTCGTCTGCAGCCATGAGCTCAGCGATCTCGCTGGCGTCCATCTGTTCCGAAGAACCGTCGTTGTTGAGATGTTAAGTCTCGACAACGCATCAGCGACGATGTTCTGTTCGCCCTTGATGTACCGTAGTTCAGGGCCGTATTCTTCCAGAATAAGGCGCCATCGCATTACGCGATCGGTATTGAAGTTCTTACATGTAAGATTCTGTGGTCCGTATGTACGACGATCTTCTGTCCTAGAGAATATACGGAACTCTTTTAGAGTTTCTACGATACTGAGAAGTTCCTTCTCGGTAACTGTGTAACGTGTCTGAGCAGGGTTGAGCTTCCTACTGTAGAACGCGATAGGTTTTCCTTCTGGGAAATTACTGACCTAGTTGAGTGTCACTCGCATCCGTGTGGATAACGAATGTGTCATTGAAGTCAGGGTAGGCGAGCAAGGTTTCTTGCTGATGATCTTCTTCATCTGGCTAAAGGCCTTGTCGTGTTCGCTTCCCATTCCACTTCGTTGTTTTGGAAGTCAACGAAGCGAGTGGAGCCAGTACATGTGATCGTCTAATCCACATGTCTCGATAGTAGTTCACTAGTCCAATGAATCTACGGAGTTCCTCCTGTTGGTAGAGGAGCGATATTCTTGATCGCGTCTATTTTCTTGGTTATAGGTTGGATCCCTTCTCGAGTAATCCAGTAACCTAGGTACTCAAGTTCTCCTCTTGCGAAGAAGGACTTGGTAGCATTGATCTTAAGTCCG